TTTGAATTGTGGTGCTGGAGGAGACTCTTGAGAGTCCCCTAGACTGCAAAGAGAACAAACCTATCCATTTTGAAAGAAATCAACCCTGAGTGCTCACTGGAAGGACAAATCCTGAAGTCGAAGCTTCAGTACTTTGGCCATCTGATGAGAAGAGAAGACTCCCTGGAAAAGACCCTGATTTTGGGAAAGTGTGAAGGCAAGAGGAGAAGGGGATGACAGAGGACAAGATGGCTGGACAGTGTCATCGAAGCTACCAAGATGAATTTGATCCAACTCCGGGAGGCAGTGGAAGACAGGAGGGCCTGGAGTGTTCTGGTCCATGGGGTCATGAAGAGTCATACACGACTTAACGACTAAGCAACAACAATTGATCTGATCATGGCAAGGGCAACAGAGTCAAATTGGTCATCCTCAGATCTCCTTCACCCTGGCCAGCTTAAAAAAAGTTTCAATGTATGACCTGCCATGTGTGTGGGTCCATTCACCTGTTGGGAGGCCATGGTGCCTATGAAATCCAAGGCTGCACCAAGAACCAACACCTCAGCATTCATGTTGAAATCCTCCAGAAGCACAAAACTGGGGAACTGCAATATGGCAGCAGAGAGAAAGTCTGTCAGCCTTGGAAGGGATAGTGCTGGATCGCGGGGAATCAGTACATCAATTGGTCAACAGATACAGGGAAGCACTCCGACCCGGTGTTGGCCAGAGAGGCAGTTCTACTAACCTTAATGAAATTTTGAAACACAATGACAACCTCACCTCTGTGCCCATCCAGTCTGCCCTGATGGTTAACAGAATAATGGGGGGGGGGGAATCTGAGAGAGGACTACCCCACTCTCAGCACCCACCCAGGTCTCTGTGATACAAGCCAGGTCAACCCTTTCATTCTCAATGAAATCTGCAGTTACTTGAGACTTGTTCTGGATTGACTTGGCATTCAGCAAACAAAAGGGTCAGAGTGGAGGGCAAAGGATTGAGATGATTACGTTGCACCTGGGTGAGGGCCAGAACACTAGAACCTGGGATCAGTATTAAAGAATGAGTCTGGCTTCTCCTGAAATGGCCGTTCCTCTAGACACCATATCTCCCTTTACCTGTCACCATCAGAATCAACTCATGTCCCATAAGAATGGTTGGTAGGGGTCCTCCCTGTGAAAAGACAAGCTTCCCCCACTCCAGGAAAAAAGGTGGGGAAGAAAAAATAAAAATAAAATAAATGAATAAAAAATTAATTGACTTCCTCTCCCCACAAGTAAAAGGTCCCAAAGATAAAATTAAATACAAAATAGAAAACTCACGACTTACAACCTCTAACTAATAAAATGAGGGCAAGCATACATAAAAGAAAAATTAATTAACAGTAACAACACTTTTTATGGACTGACTTCAATTTCTGAACGCTATACAGGCTACAAAACCACTTTTATAGCATTTTGAAATGCAGAATGTGTTAGTGTGGATTAAAATACAGCATTACTCTCCTCAGGTTTTTATGTACAAAATTATTAAATTTGTACAATAATAATTGCCTGAATTTAATCATATATCTATCTAGTAGGCAACTGCTGCTAGACAGAGGAGCAGAATTGGGGCATTGTCAAAAGGTTAGCTCTTCAGGACCATGATGTATAAATAAATGTTAGAAATAGAAAACAATGCCTTTCTTAAATATTTGTATGTTTTGCAGCCCAAATTCTCTAAAGCCAGACTTGTCATTTTTATTAGAAGATGACTATGAGATTCAAAAGGATTCAAAATAAAAGCTTTCATGAACTTCATACTTGCAGAAGAGTGCAGCCTGTGCTCCCTCTTCTGGCTAATTAAGGTAACGTACACAGCCTGGTTCCCCCTCCACCCCGCCAATAACTGCAAGATGTATCTGTTGTAACTGATAGACCACCTAACGAAATGGGATCACTTTCAACTGATTATAGTCAAATCAGGGCCAACCCAACGCATTTTGCCAGCTGAGATGAAGAAGCTGCTTCATCCACTCTGCCACCTCTCCCCCCAATCTTGTGGTGTGTCAACCTCTTTCTGGTGTTTCTGCTGCCTTCTGCAACAGAACAACACAACATTACCTGGGCCATCTCACACCCTAATGTGCCCTACTCCAAGGGACAATCTAATTCTACACTGTTTTGTCTCAGAAAGAAAAATTAGGAAAGCCCATGGGAATCTTTTGGTGGTAGCAACATGTACTGTTCAAAGTTTAACAAACTTTAAATAGTGTTTGACATTATGGCAAAGCATTGATGTCAGAAGAGTCTTCTGCTATCAACTGGCTCACAAAACGTCACTCTAATGAAGGACCCTTCCTTAGATTGGTGCATGAGTTACCTGGCAAATGCTGGATGGCCCCAAAGGAGTGCAGTTGGCCATTTCACTGCAGCAGCAGCTGTTGTTTTAAAATACACCATTACAAAGCACTGACCTCAAAGAGTAGGCAACTGCTGCTAGACAGAGGAGCAGAGGCTGGCAGAATTGGGGCACTGTCATGACATCTGCCACCTCTGCTGATCTGGTGCTATTTCAACAGGTGAATCCTGACTCATGAAGGGGTAACTCTAGGTTAACAGATATACATAATTTTCAGAATTATTTTTGTTCTTATCTGCCACCTCTGCTGATCTGGTGCTATTGCAACAGGTGAATCCTGACTCTAGGGGTAACTCTAGGTTAACAGATACACATAGTTTTCAGAATTATTTTTGTTCTTAGAGTTCGATTCTCCACTGTGCCTCCTGGGAGAAGAGGCAGCCTGTGTAGCCTTGAGCAAGGTGCATAGTGCCAGAGCACCCACAGAAGAAGGGAACGGGAAACCGCCGAAATGTATTCTCTACCTAGAAAACCCTGAAAAGGGTCACCTAAGTCAGAACTGACTTGAAGGCAGCACAAGATTATTATTTATTTTTGTTCTGGTGTGCAACTGAAAAAGTGAACTAAAAAAAGGCTGGATTCCTATAAATGTTTACCTATGTATAAAATATACTGAACGTGGGATGGAGGGAAAAAAGCCTCTGAAACTCCCTCCTACAGGAGGCCAGGCTGGCCCCATTTTTGCTGTCCTTCCACAAGCAGATGGAGACCTTTCTCTTCAGGCAGGCTTTCTCTTAGTGATTGGCTGTCTGAGACAGTTTTTTAAAATGGAGTGCTATGCCTTGTAACTCTGTTTTTGGTTTTGATTTTGTTTACCATTTTTAGTATACAATTAGTGTGATTCTTTTAAAATATTGGTATACATATTTAGCTTTTAAATCTTGTCTTTTTATGAAGTGCAGATGGAGACCTTTCTCTTCAGGCAGGCTTTCTCTTAGTGATTGGCTGTCTGAGACAGTTTTTTAAAATGGAGTGCTATGCCTTGTAACTCTGTTTTTGGTTTTGATTTTGTTTACCATTTTTAGTATACAATTAGTGTGATTCTTTTAAAATATTGGTATACATTTTTAGCTTTTAAATGTTGTCTTTTTATGAAGCAAACCACCTTGGGTCTTTAGATAGATAGACAGACAGACATGCCTCACGAATATTGCATAGCTGGCGTAAACTACTGATACTGCTATCCAAAGAAGGATCTTAACATTGAACATATTTTCATCAAATATATTTGCTATTCTACTACAGGAGTATGTAAAAATGTGGTCTTTGGAGTGCTGGGACTTTCCAGGCTTCTGAACCCCCGCCCCAAACCCCTTTTTAGTTTTTGTTCTCCATTCATAAATTGTCCTCTCCAAGAGATCTCTGTAAGCATTTTTTCATTAAACATAATTGTGTTCGCTCAGACCTGGTTTTTGTTTTATTAAGGCTCAAAGCTTAAAACAGGCCCTGATGGTAGAATTTTGTTCAAATGGCAAACCACAACTCACAGAAGCTTCTTAGGTTATGATATGTAACTTTGGGGAGAAAACTCCCCATGAGTGCTGGGGATTACACATAGAAGGGTTGTATGTAACCCTCCATGGCCTAGCGGAGGGGAAATAGCCCCCAAACACTCAGATACTGACTAGACTTGTTCTGCAGCAACCACGCAAATAAGAATTAACATTACCGAGTTTTTAAAATATGTCATCTAATGTATATTGTGAAAAAAAAATATTTCTTATTTCCTGCTTTCTCTGTGGAGGAAATGTGACTTAGTTTCAGATTATGTGATCTTACCAACAGAAACAACTGAATGACTTGCTCGGGAATATGGGATGTACATGGTATCTCTTGATCTCACAGCACTCTGGTAAAAAAAAAGGAGATGTTATTTTTATGCAACACATACAGTATTTGCAGGACAAAGGCTGAAATCCAGGAGTTAATTTGCAACTTGAGTATGTCCATTGAATCAGTGGGGATCTGGTGGGTTAACGCCTTTGTAAGTTCCATTGATTAAATGGGTGTACTCTCATTGTGATTTTTTTTACTGGGTTTCAGCCAATGCATGGGGCACCATGGTTGAGAAAGTAAGTTGAAATATATTCGCGAAGGCTTTCACGGCCGGGATCTAATGGTTGTTCTGGGTTTTTCGGGCTCTTTGGCCATGTTCTGAAGGTTGTTCTTCCTGACGTTTCACCAGTCTCTGTGGCTGGCATCTTTAGAGGACAGCAAACTGTGCTCTGGTGAAATGCTAGGGGAAGGGAAATAGCTTCCCTTCCCCTAGTATTTCTTACATATGCCCAATCTTGTGCTTGCAAGTTTAGGGACCCTATAGAATAAGTTTATGAACAGGGTAATTGTGATGGGATGAAAGGAAAGAGAAATATATATCAGATGTATCCCACTGTAAGTTCAACTTTACCCACAGCAGTAGAACTTCCTTTATTTCTCTTTGATTCAGATGGGGCATTTTGCCTAATTTAGCACTAACCATATTCTCTTCCAAGCTACGTTTGCAAATGCACTTCACATGTTAGTACACTTACAGTTCCAGTATTCTGGATAAAAATACGCAAGATCCCAGCTAACCAGAGTGCATCCCACCCAGGAGTGGCACTTGCTTTATACTTAGTCTTGGATGCAGCACAAGGCTGCCCATAGTAATTTGTATGGTTTCTTGCATTATATTGTGGTGAAATGTTGGTTTAGGGGCATCTATTCATAGCTGCTTATTCCTTCAAATTACAGATTTTGTATCATATTTTCTTCTGATGCTGATGCCAACTCACTATCATGTAGGCCAGAATTTTTCAGAACAGAGGCTAAATTCCAATTTGGGAGGGATGTCAAGGGCCACACACTTTACCAGTGGGTAAAACCTAAGACAGCATGGACATGGTTGATTGTATCAAGAACATATTGGATCAAGCATTAGATCCATTGTGCAGAAAACATAACTTAGTTCCATGCAACAGCTTGCACGCTGTCTGTAATCAATAACATGTGTCTGTCTGATGATGAAATCAAATCAAACCTTCATTTCTAATAGGCTCCTTGGAAATGTCATGTAGTTAATAAAGTAAAATCAGAGCAAAATAAACATCTCCTGTCCTCACTCAGAATGAGTGAGCTTTTGCCCCTCATTTTGCAGCCTCCTTTCTGTGAGAAAATCAGATACTTGAAAGGAAACATTTTATTGACTAGCAATTGCTTTAAGTATCGAAAGAGTTAAAAGCAGCATTGTAATGCTATTACTATAGTACAGATTCATTTATGCATAACACTACTGTTCTGTGGCTTTCATTATTTGTGTTTAAAGTCTATTCTGGTCTTAAGAATCTCATGAAGGAGGCCTAAGAGTCTGATCAAGGACACCAAGATTCTGTGTCTAGAAGGCATGCTCCCTTATGTAGTTAAATAGGTATAATTGTATAAATATATTAAAAGGAGAAGCTTCTGTGCCATCAATATTATCTTTGGAAACATAATATTAAAAGAAGCTTGTGTTTCATTCGTGTTATCTTTGGAATGTAAACACTGGTTCTTTTGCATGTCTATTTCTGGAGTCATATGTAACAAAGGAAATCATGTTGATGGGGAGAAAGTGTTATAATAGAAAGAAGACTGCATTTCTCTAGATGTGCGTTGTGGCCCTAGAAGAACTTAAGTGAATTATGAAAAGGATTCTCTTTCAGAAAAAAATCATTCTCATATAAAATTGCTATGCAAATTAAAATACAAACTTTCTCTCCCTTCTATCCCCACAGCAAGCAATTGAAATTAACCTGTAAAAATCTACATAATATCTTTCTTTGGTAACATAACAAGAAGTACCTTTGACACTGAAAAGTGTTTTGCATGTTTTGGTGTCCGTATCTTTTTGAGAACCAGTTTTTCTGTTTTGAAGAGCTTCTTGTGCACATGCTCTTTGGGCACATGTTTCTAAACATAATTACAGAAATACATTAAATAATAAATTGTATGACAGTATTCATTTTTCACATGTTCATATTCCTATATAGCCTGGACCACTGTAACAGGCCTAAGAGTCTCATCAGAGGAGACAAAGAATTTGCACCTAGAAGGCATGCTCCCTTGTATGGCAAAATAGAAAGTGGTGCAATTAAGTATGGCATCTTTACTTCAACTGTGCAAGCCAGTCCTAAGTCCTGCTCTGACAGCAACAATATTTATAGAAATATGCTACAAACTAGTAGCTAGAATTTAGTATTTATAATATATTTCGGTACCTCATCCTCTGGTGTTTCAAATCAGTTGGAGTATTTTTCATGATAATGGGAAAACTAATACAGCCAGTTTCTGAAAATGCCAGTCAGCCCTAGCAGAAGGAAGTACATCCAAAATAATTGAGATAAATGTGTGGAAAATATATTATAGCAGGAATGGAGCCCAACAACAGACCAACGGGTATGGCCACAGAGAACAAGCTAATGCAGTAGATGGGAGTATTCATAAGAGTTGGACTAATGCCAAATGAAGGCTCAACACCACTGTTCCAAAAAAACACAGGTATAAAAGAGCTGCTATTGCTGGAAGCAGGTGCAATGTTTACTTGGTTTGCCAGAATCCTCAGTCATGAGACATTTGTTTCTACAGCATGTAGGATTGACCTGGATAAAAGGCAAACTACTTTCTGAGAGTAGAGTACTCAAAAATGCATTGTATACGTCTGTAAATAGATAAGTAAAGCTCAGAGACCGTCTTTGTTTCCTGAACTTCAACCACATCCAAGGGTTTGGATCTTGCCCTATGAGGAGACTGCCATGAGCCAAACTGAAAAATAACGTACAGGAACAAAAAGTTAAGTATATTCATATCATGACCTATTATAGGATAAACTGCTTGTCAGACATCTGATAAATGAAGAGTGATGTGTGTTACTTTAAGAATGCAATGAGCAGTGATTTATCCACATAACTGAATATTCAAACCTACCTCTTTATTGTGTGGTTAGCTACAATGTGTGCTAATTTTTCCCTATGTCCTTGTTGTTTTAATTGGTTACAAAAGTGACACGGTGCAAGAAGGGAGAAGAATTCTAACAATTTCTAACAATAAGGACTGCAGGATGCCACCTCCCACCTTGCAGTCTGACTCTAAGTAGTTTTCTATAACTGTGCAAGCCTAACCACTGCAGAAGAGCTCACCTGGGCCTGGGTTCTTAGTGAGAGAGGAGCAGTGGGCCTGAAACAGATGTATGGATGTGACAGAATCATGGTGTAACATGTGAGCTCTTAATCATTCCTAGATCTTAGAGGCAAGGTCTGGATATCGGTGGTGCTACTCCCCATCTCTGGGGCCCATTTGTATTTATAATGGCTTCTATAATTCCATACAGGCCTCAGATGGCTGCCCCATGATGTTTGTAAACATTTCATAGAGGTGACATGAGCACAAAAAGGTTTTTATCTTATTTCCAGTACATCTCTGCTTATGTGTATTCATTTTCTCTTGATTAATGCTGAATCAACCTCATTATTTCCTTGTGTCATGTAATATTTTAAAGCATCTTTAAAAAACACTTTTAAAAAGACACCCCCAAGTCTCCCTCAAACGGATTGTCACTTTACTGTAGTATACAGTGACTCCTGTCCACAGATTTGCCCCTTCTCCTACTCAAACTGTTTCACACTGTTACCTATGCACTTGGAATTTCTGGGACTCTTCTTTACCCTCCACTTCATTCTGTGGAAGATTCTTAATCCAGCCTTTTTGTTAGAACTATAACCCATAATATGCTGCCACCACTGGTTCCCAAAGGGGAAACCTTTTAATAATTCTTTTCTAGTCTTGTTCTTTATGAGCTACAGCTAAACAGCCGGCATGTGTGTTATTTTAAAATCACCACTTAGAAATATAGAAACATTTGTTGTATGGTTTACAAAAACAACAAAAAGATTATAGGTACGCATCCAGTCTTTTTATCTACTTAAACTAGAAATTCTATTTTCACACAAATTTATCAAATTCTAATTCTCTCTCCTTTCCCATTTGTGTCATACTCTGTTCATCACAGCTCTCACCTATCACAGCTCATATCATATCTCTATCTCATATCTATCCCTAATCTAAATCCTATCCTATGCCTCTCCCTCTTTTGGTTCCTATCATGATGCAAATGTCTTAAATGCTCCCACATTCTGTCAATGCATTCATTCCATCATGCAACCAGCTAAGATACCCATATGTATAACATACACAAATGAAACAAACAGAAGGTAAATGAAATCATCACATTACCCATTAATTCAAGGCAAGTAATTTATGGTATAATTCAGGAAGATTAAAATATTGAAGTTCTCTGATTTCACAGGAGTTAGTTAAGAACGTGTTTAATTATCCTATTAATATCAATGGGATTTAAAGGTTCTTAATGTCAGTATTAAATAAGATAATACCTTGACACTCCTGAACTGCCTTTCTCCACCTGAATGTTTTTCTTCTATTTTTCCACAAATGTTAGAATCTAGAAAGAAAGAAAGAAAGAAAGAAAGAAAGAAAGAAAGAAAGAAAGAAAGAAAGAAAGAAAGAAAGAAAGAAAGAAAGAAAGAAAAGAAAAGAAAAGAAAAGAAAAGAAAGAAAAGAAAGGAAAGAAAGGAAAGAAAGAAAGAAAAATATAAAGGACATTGTAGTTTTTTCAGGCTGTTTGGCTATGTTCTGAACAACACAGCCAAAAACCCGAAAAACTTACAGCAACCATCAGATCCCAGCCATGAAAGCCTTCAAGAATACATAACTATAAAACTTTTTATAATTTTAGGTATAAACATCATGTAGTGAAAGTCAGAGCTAAGCAATCCAAAGGCATCCATGGATGCCAAAGGTGCTTCTCCTTCAACATGAAAGTGTTGTTCTGTATTTTACATTAGGACACAGTATGAGAACATCAAAAGATATGTTTCCATACATGTGTGCTGCTTGTGCAGATATGTGAAAGTGAGACACAATCTAGGAAAGCTCAGACCAAAAAATTAGCTCCTTAATTTCTTCAGTAATTGACTTGATCATCTTAGGATCAAGTGAAAGATACTTTGAAACATGGTAAAAAAAATATTTCTCTATGGAAACATCTTTTTTACCATGTTTCAAAATAACAATCACTTGTGACTTTTACAAGTGATTATTGTTTTGAAACACTGAAAAAATTGTCAGACCAATCATACTACTTTGGCATCTTCACAAAGGCCTGGAAAAAAAAAACCTTCACTGTCTAATGCAGTAATTTCCGGCCTTGGGTTCCAAGATGTTCTTGGACTAAAATTCCCAGAAGCCTTCACAACTAGCTGTGTGAGCCACGATTTCTGGGAGTTGTATCCAAGCACATCTGGGGAATTGAGGTTGGGAGCTACTTTTCCAATGGAAATAATGGAACCACTCCTCATTCCACAACAGGCTGGCTGTAAACCTGGGAAGATCTATACAGCATAAATATTGCATTTAATGCAATACAATGGGAATGACTTTGAAGTAGAGATGGGGAATATTTGTATACAAATACGAATATCCTCGTGCAGCCAGACTTAATGAGGCTCTGGCCCCGGGGCTGGACCATCCACTCACATGTTCTGCTGTGGTGGCAGCCCTGCTCATCCTTCCAATTGTGCCCAGAGTCATGCTCTCCTCCAGCTTGCCTGGTCACTCCAGGCAGAGCTGGGAGGGTGAGTCTCCCTGCATAGCTGCCAGGTGGCCGGCCAAGCAGAAGACAGTGGCATTCAAGGTGTAATTGAAAGGATGAGCAGGGTCACTCCTGCAGCAGGACATATGAGTGAATGGGCCAGCCTGGGGGCAGACCCTCATTAAAGCCATCTGTGCAGGAATATTTGTATTTGCACACAATACGAATATCCACATTTCTACTTTGAAAGTAGGAATATGACAGGGGTAGCCTTTGTTGACTCTTGGCTGTCTGTGACACTGTTCATCATCAAAGATTTTATAATCTGACCAAGGATTATATAACAACTAAAGAGGACACATCTATTATGCAAAACTGCGGATTCTCCATTAACTTTCAAGGACAATGCAGCTGATGGAGGACTCAAATGTTCTACACCAGTGGTCCCCAAACTTATTCACATTGCGGACTGGTTGAGGAAGGTGGGGCACCCCCTTCCTTGAGCTCACACGCATGCATGGAGTGAGGAGCACTCACACACTTGTATGCATGCGCGAAGGGCGGGGGTGGGATATCTGTCTCCACGGCCTGGTCTGGCCCAGGCCATGGACTGGCACTAGGTCACAGACCAGGGGTTGGGGACCCCTGCTCTACCCTATTTTGTTTAACACTTACACCAAGTGAGGAAGTGAGGATGAATCACTTCTCCATTGTTCCAAAAGCTTTTTTTATCCTGATAATCTTGCACTTCTTCCTCAGTTAGTCAGCTTTCAGACAGGAGAGCATCTATCAGATGCATTAGATAAACTTGGTGCATATTGTGATGGAAATCAAGTTTAAGTCAACTCTACTAAGACTCAAATATGTTTCTTTTATCTGAGAAATCATTGTTTTGCCACCAGATATCTTAGATCATACACTGACCTGTAAAAAACACTGCCAAAATAAAAAACAAAAGTGTTCCATGAGGACCAATATTCTTCAAAAGCTTTCAGGAACCAGTGGAGGAGAAAATAGGAAATGTAGACACATTTTTGGTCAAAACATCATTATATATCATGTTTTTAGTTGCTCCCAATTCAGGAGTGAATATGTGCAGACTAGTGTTCATTAGGCAAGGCAATCCTTACTGCCAAAATAATACATGCTACTGTAGCATTCAGCCCTGCCCTCACCTGTCCGTCACAGCTGAGCAGTGGAAAAGGAGCCAATGAGGGAACGGAAGGTGGTGCTAAAGGGGGAGGGGCTGGGATATAAAGGGGGGTGTATGGAGTATGAGAGGGAGTTATGCGAGGCTGTGAACCAGAAAGTCAGTGAGAGTAGGGTTCTGTGTGTCAGTGAGTTTAGTGAGTGAGAGAGATTGATTATCAACTTGTGATTTACCTATTACTTATTACTGATCAAATAAACAAGTTTAAGTTTCAAAGTAACACATGTCTCAGTGAATAATTGGTATTGAAACAGCAATACCTGGTGGCAGCAATTTGGGAAGAAGAGTGAGCACCTCCTGGAGGCCTGAGATAATAGAGGCTTCAGCGTGCCCGCTACAGCTACATTTTGACATATACTGGAATCATACCATTGAAACAGACATCTTGGAGTACCACTTTCTCTGACTTGTTTCCAAAAACTCACATTATATTATTGCAGTTAGTCTTTTGGTTCCACAATGTTTTTGTCTTCTATACAGTATTTTCTTATTGTTCTTTTGGGTTTGCTTGATATTGCTAGCATAGACTTACAAGGCTACTTCTTGTTACCTGTATCTGTTATGGGCTCTAAGGCTGGTAGTCTGTCCAAAGAGCAGACACTTTCAGGTATTACTTCAGGTACTTCTGGAGATGTTTCTTCACTGATGGGATGCTGCTTTTCAATTTGAGTTTCCTGTAATGGCTCCACAGTGGATACATCACTCTCTGCTTCAGCGTTCTTAATGAATGATGTAACAATATTAGCATTTGAAATAAAAGTACATGCAAAAAAAACCCATAAAAAAACCCAGCACCCCCCTTTATTCTCCCCAGCCTCCAAACAGTAGATAATGAAATGTCTAATTAACATCCTAAAACCTTGAAATAATAGAATGTAATATACAAGGGTGTCTGAGCAAACTGAGGACTGTGAACTGATTTCACAGTTCTTTAAGCCCAAGAAGTAAAGAAAAGGAAGACAGAACAGGAAGGAATTTTGCCATAGGTAATATTAGATACTGATAAAAATATATCTTAGTGCTTTCACTAAACTGGCCATGTGTGCTTAGGGGAAACTTAGACTTTTGATGGTTACTAGGATTATACCAGTGGTTCTAAACCTTTGTTACTCGGATGCTTTTGAACTGCAACTCCCAGAAACCCCAGTCAGGACAGCTGGTGGTGAAGGCTTCTGGGAGTTGCAGTCCAAAACTCCTGAGTAACCCAAGGTTAAGAACCAGTGGATTATACAACAACTAAAGCTCTTCTTTTGTTTTTGTGTTTTTTTCATTGATTTTCTTGTTGAAAAACGGTGGCTCTTAAATACAAATAATCCACAAATGAAAGACGGATACACAATAATTTTGTATTCTTTCATGTTTTCCTCTTTCCTATACCTATTCTTTCATCCTTTGTCAAACTGCCCAGAAAGTCATTAGGACTTTTTTCAACTGATAGGATTGTGTGGGCTGCTTTCAGCAGCCAATTAGAATGTCCAAGAGCAGGGAAGCAGGAATTTTGAACCTCCGAAAGGGCCTGGATTGTTTGCAATCATTGAGGGGAGTAATTTGCTTCAATTATCTGTGTGCTGGTTCTTTGTACCCTCCATCTTGCATTGGGCTACCTCTGTCAGCCTGGCTGCTGGAGTCAGAAGAAAAGATATCAAGTGGTAGTAGTAGTAGAGAGAAATCTCCCCATATTCAAGGCATTTTGATTTGGAGGCTGCCTTGATCGTATTTCTTTCCTTTATTTCCTTGTTTTCTTTTGGGGGGGTTGTTTGTTTTTGAGTGGGGATGGCTCTGTATGGATTTTTTTTTTGCAATTTTCCCTTTGTGTATATGAGGTTGGATTTTTAAAATTGTACTTTGGTTAATTGATCGTGTATTTATTCTGCTAAAGTTCAAGGCATTTTGATTTGGAGGCTGCCTTGATCGTATTTCTTTCCTTTATTTCCTTGTTTTCTTTTGGGGGGGTTGTTTGTTTTTGAGTGGGGATGGCTCTGTATGGATTTTTTTTTTGCAATTTTCCCTTTGTGTATATGAGGTTGGATTTTTAAAATTGTACTTTGGTTAATTGATCGTGTATTTATTCTGCTAAAGGTATACAGTGTGTATATGAGGTTGGATTTTTAAAATTGTCCTTTGGTTAATTGATTGTGTATTTATTCTGCTAAAGGTATATATATTTTGCTATCCATGTTATTTTTCTTTTTCATGTAATGTTGCCTACTTTTGCAGTAGAATGGTTCTTGACCTAACTACAGTATCTGCTTTTTTTGAGTAGTTTTAGAGGGTTCTACCCTGTTTCCCTGAAAATAAGACCTAACCTGAAAATAAGCCCTAGTGCTGGAGTCAGAAGAAAAGATATCAAGTGGTAGTAGTAGTAGAGAGAAATCTCCCCATATTCAAGGCATTTTGATTTGGAGGCTGCCTTGATCGTATTTCTTTCCTTTATTTCCTTGTTTTCTTTTGGGGGGGTTGTTTGTTTTTGAGTGGGGATGGCTCTGTATGGATTTTTTTTTTGCAATTTTCCCTTTGTGTATATGAGGTTGGATTTTTAAAATTGTACTTTGGTTAATTGATCGTGTATTTATTCTGCTAAAGGTATACAGTGCTGCCTCGCTTAACGAGCGCACCGTATAACGATGAATTCGCATTGCGATCTGTTTTTTTGGATTGCTAATGCGAAGGCATACCGACGGTTCCAATGGGCAAAACTCGCATTGTGAAGATCGGTAAGCGTTTCGCGATGTCGGGGAATCAGCTGTTCGGCAGTTCCAAAATGGCCGCCGGATGACCCAAAATGGCTGCGCGCAGCGTTTTCGCGCCCTGCCCTCGCTTACCGAGGGTGCAAAAATGGCTGCCGCTATGGGGAAACATCGCAGAACTGTGAGTTTTGTGCCCATTTGGGTTTCCCCATTCCTTATAGCGATGTTTCCCCATAGCGAAGGCTAATCCAGAACAGATTAACCTCGCTATGCGGGGCACCACTGTATATTTTTGCTATGCATGTTATTTTTCTTTCTCCTGTAATGTTTCCTGCTTTTGGAGTAGAATGGTTCTCGACCTAACTACAGTATCTACTTTTTTTGAGTAGTTTTAGAGGGTTCTACCCTATTTTCCCGAAAATAAGACCTAACCTGAAAATAAGCCCTAGTATGATTCTTCAGGATACTTGTAATATAAGCCCTACCCCCAAAATAAGCCCCAGTTAAGTGAAACCCCGCCCTCCACCATTGTGCAGCAACCAGAAGAAAATGACATGACTGCAAAATAAAACATCCCATGAAAATAAGCCCTAGCGCGTTTTTTTTTGGTGCAAAAATTAATATGAGACCCTGTCTTATTTTCGGGGAAACACAGTATAGAGCTTTTGGATGAGTGCCAGAGAAAACACAATTGGAGAAAAATGAAATTAAATAACCCAAAAAGAGGTGGTCCCTTTCATGTTTAACAAAAGGACTGGTGCACTAAAAAGATGAAAACAAAAGAGGCACCCACTCCAAAAAGACCCTGAAACAAATCAAAAATGATTTTTTTTGCTCTGCACATCCATAGTGCTTACCCCACTATTCCTAATAATATAGTAGTCCCTGGAAGCAAGAAAGAAAAGGTGGGGAGACAAAAATAAGACAAAGAAGGAAGGGGGCAAAAGGAAGGGATTATTATGGAAAGAAAGAAAAAGGATAAAGAAAAAGAGAATAATGGAAAACAAAGCAAGAGAAAAAGATAGTAATAAAGAATAAACTCCTCTGAACAAAACAGAGCAAATATGGAAAGGTAAGGCTCAGAAAATAAAGATTTTCTATTGATGTGTAGTGTGTGTTTCAGCCATCTGTTGTCAAAGAAACATTGTCTGCTTCTGCTTCTTCCAGCTGGAAGCACAGCATTTCAAACAGTGCGCCTATGATGCAGCAACACCAGATCACCATGTTGGAATGGGTGGCACAAGAGTAGGGACCACACATGTTGCCATTCCTCCTATACTGTGCCAATTCAAATGACTGGGATACTTTGCTGGCAAAACTATCCCTTGAGTCATGGACGAGAGGATGCAGTGTCCCTTTAGATTTCAGATTTTTCATGGGTAGGAGTCCATTTTTAATCCATAATGTAAATAATATGGAGAACTGCCACAGGCAGCATGAACATTAAGCTTAGCACCAACCAAAGTTTTTAAAAGAATGTAAGTCCAATTAATCAAGACACAAATCTGCAGCTGCTGTTTTTCCTCTTGGCCACAGTGGGGCTCCTCTATTGTATGTGAAAAGTTAGTCATACAAGGTACTATACGAACCTGTTCCTGGGATTGTGTTCTTGTCCCAAATTGTTCAGGGACTTGAGATGAACATGGAGAAACTCCAAAGAAAGGCATTTCCCACTTGGCAGATGGTACATACATTGGTCCGGGAACATATTTCCTGCCTTCTGTCACAATCATCCTTTCAGACACTAAGGAGAAGAAAAGGGTATTTTCAATCAGCCCTCTTACATGCACTGTATGATCATCGTACAGCACACATGAGAAATCGGGAACATCTGTGGCTATGGAAATCCAGGCTTTGCCAGAACAAAAGTACAGTAGTATGCTTCTCAAGCAAAGTACAGTATTGACATGAAGTTTGCAGTCATATTTTTCAAAAGCTATGGCTCCATCTTTGCCTTATTGTTGGAACTGCAGTAGTGGAAGAGGGAAGGGATTATGACATAGAATATGTAACTTTTATGATTTCTTTAAAAGATAGCATACAAATGTAAACCTCCAGCTTAGAAGCTTTCATGTTTGCATTTCCTTCTGCTTGGGCCTTGTGCAAAGCAGAAGGAACTTGTGGATAAGCATGCAATTTGGAAGTGTGCTGCTTATACTTGGCTGCTTATGCATGCACCACTTATTTGGTGTATCATTTTAAAGACATATTTCTGTGACACTGGAGTTGCCCACAACATGCAGAAATGTTTCTTCTGTTTGCAAGCTACTCTGTTTTTGCTTCATCTCCAATCAACAATGCAATTAGAAAATTGGTGGATCTGCTGTAACAATTACTTATTGTCCAACACACATATAGGAAAATGACGGGGGGAGGTGTAGTTGCATGATGGAACTCACACGTTGCTTTGCTATTTTTTAGGCTAGGAACAAAAAGCCGTGCTCCAATAGTGCCCATCAGGGCTCTTCCTTTTCTCAACTATGTTGGGGCAGTTAGCATCAATGATATTATATCAGCCATATGAGGACTGCTAGTGGCAGCATGGATAAATTTATTTATTTATTTTATTTATATCCCACCTATCTGGTCAACTAAGGACCACTCTAGGCGGCTAACAGAAATTAGTGAAAATCTGCACCAGGAGCAAGATGGATAAAAAGTGGAAAATTGTGTCAAGAAACACAAGCACTGGTGATACGAGGTAGAAGGGGTATTTCCCTTCTTTGTCTCTTACTTTGCAGACAATTAGCTTGTCATTTATACATTCCAGCTTCTTTCAGTCACAACAGGCTTCAAATGCATTGTGCAGAACCAAAATAGCCATTGAGAGACAGGTCACAATAGGGCATGTTGTCCATTTGTTTGGGAATAGGTCTTCAATGGAAGAAGGAAAGGACTTACATAGAGATAAGGAAACTAGCTCTTCTAACCAGTGGACATTTTGCACATATTTATATAATACTAAACATCGTTTAATAAAAAAAATCTGTTTTAAGCATTTACTTTCTGCTTTATCTTGTTTTTCTAAGTCGGGAATTCCAGGATGAAGTAGGAAATCAAACATCTTCAGAGATGCTTCTGAAGTAGAGGGTGAACAGTAGACCTCTGAGGGAGCTATTGCCAATCTCCAGGATTGCTAATGGATTTGGGGGTGGGGGGGAGAGAGAGAGAGAACAAATATATATAGTTATAAATAAATTAAACAGCTTTTACTTGTTTCATTACAGTATCTGCTTTTAATATGATAAATTAACTAATCTAATTTGAATAAATTTGGAAATAACATAAACCTTGACTTAGACACCTTTTGGGGATAGTGAAAACCTGTGTGATATTTGGTAAATGAAATATTATTTGTCACGGTGAGAAGGAAAAGCTACCTTCAATATTTACTTTTTCATTTCCTATTTTCATCTAGAGACACAGCAGACTCAAAATAGCGCCTACCAAAAGGATGCTGCTTGTATGCTCGTAGCATACTTTATAGCTAGAAAAGCCTGAGAGGGTCATTGTAAGTCAGAATCTTCATGGCACATAAGTATTATTAAGTCAGGAAGAATGTGTCTGTCTACAGTATAAAATTAGGAAGTAGTAAAATAAGAACTCCCTTTTGTATGTTTGTTATTTATTTTATTCTATTTCAATTAGACATCATTGGTGTGTGATCATAATAAATCCAATAATGCATTGAAATCTTATTATTCAAGTCTAAGATTTTATGGACTGGGTCACATCACAACAGTTACATTATGGATTTGTGTGGAAGTTGACTGAAGAAGCTACTTGATGAGTAGTGAAATGTTTCACCCTAATAAGAAACAAGTCCAATTGCCTAACCTGGATGACTGAGAATCTTCACAGATAAATTGTGGATTTGGCATTGTAAATTATTTCCATGACTTGCATCCTCTTTGGATAAGATGTTTTTCCACTCAATTTGTGGAACCACTGGTTTTATTTTTCAACAGCATAAATCAATTCAGCAGGACAAGCTAACCTTTTCTTTCTTCTTTGGCAAAACATGCAGCTCTGATGTGAAGTCATCAGTGAAAGCATATCCCTTGTAAGGTTCCTAGAGAAACATTAAATATATACAGGGAATTATGTTTATAATATTATAAATGAATTTCTAGTTTATAGGAATATGTGTCATAGTTTTACATTCATTCTACTGTTCTATACACATGCCCTAAAAATTAAGTCCCATTAAGCCTAAAAGAATTAAAGTTTATTCCATATGAAATTATTTTAAATTTGCAAAATCTGATTCTACACATAAAGTAATTTTGACAAATGTAAAAGCTGTGTATAAACTATCTATGATAAAGGAAATGTCAACACTATTTAACGTTACAGTAACTTTGTTTCTAACTTTCTGAGAAAAGTGTAACAATAAAGATTTCTGCAGAAAGAAACCATTTTGTCAATAGGGCATTCAAGGTAGGATATACATTAGAAGTGAAACTCTTGGGTATGTAGATCTTGTCATGTTTAAACCATTGCCCTCCTGTATTCCCCCCCCCAAAAAAACCCACAATTAATACTCTGGGTCATTCATTCCAGAACAATCACACACACTAAATCCTAGTTCTACAATTGCAAGAGAAGTGGAAAGCCAGGCTATTGTTTCAAGGTGCTTTTTAAAAATGTCCAGCCATTGGATGCACACTTCCCAAATGTGAAGGAACACAGATTTTAAAATACGTTGGCTGACACCATGTGGCCAAAATTACAGTATGCCATATAAAACTGATTATGTCATGTGCTGTGGCAATGTTTATAATCTCCCCACAAACAATAACTACCGTGTTTCCCCGAAAATAAGGCAGGGTCTCACATTAACTTTTGCTCCAAAAAACACATTAGGGCTTATTTTCAGGGGATGTTTTATTTTCTTCATGCACAACAATCTACATTTATTCAAATACAGTCTGGTTGCTGCACAATGGTGGAGAGCGGGGTTTCACTTAACTGGGGCTTATTTTCACTTATATTACGAGCATCCTGAAAAATTATACTAAGGCTTATTTTCAGATTAGATCTTATTTTCGGGGACAGGAAAGCTATTTTATTTCACAAACCTTCTAAAGACAATGCATGGCAAAATGGGGAGAAAGTGTAGAGGAGATTATGGTGCTTTTTTACATTACAGTTTTCCTGTCCATGTCTGTTAGCTGCCTAATGAAAGAATGCCTCCATACAAAAAGACCCATCTCCTGCATATGTTTTATATCAACATTTTTATGAAGAAAGAACTAGACAAGAGAAGGAGAAAGAATGAATACATGTGTGGGATATAAAGGTTCTACAACTTCAACATCACTCTAAAGGGCTAGAAGGTATAACATTGCTACATCAGAACATAGCTGACATGGAAACAACCATCACTGAAAAAGTCATTAAAAAGTGGAATGTTAAGGAAGAAATAGCATCAGCAGAATAGGCTGGAGACTGTTTATATTCTATGAACATGAGCCAGGCATCATTGTTGCTGCATAAAATGCTACTCCACATAGTCACACTTGTAAAATGTTTCCTAGTTACTCCTCATGAATTTTGAGTTTGTTTTTTGTGTTCAGATGATGCATGGCCATTACCAAATCTTTTGCTCCCCCTTTGTGCTATATCTCTGCATTAAATCCAACCTGCTGAAAGGCTACGAGTATATTTGTTTGAGTATAAATGCCTCTCCAGATCAGTATGTGGCCAACAACAGTGTTTTGCCGAAATATTGATATACCTTTTTTAAAGGGGGGAAGGGGAGCAGAGAAAAATATAAAGAAGGGCTATATCCCATTGCAGGGGCGTAGACAAACGTACCACATGTAATTTACAAAAAAACCCGTGGAATTAAAGAACTATGAACCACTATCACGGGATATAACGGGCAACTCTACAGAAAGCAGAAGAGGCAAGAAAGCAGTGGAGCATTTCTCTAGTGTGACCATGGAATTAGGTTCCACATCCACAATTTAAAGCATTCATAAAACTAAAAGTTATGTTTGGAGTCATTGCACTACCACACAACTAACAGAGGGTGGCATACGTTGCAGCTGATGTTGGATGCAAGTCAGTTTAATAATGAACATCTCTAACACATTTATTTAATACTGCTTTCTCCATTTAGTTACAAATACAATATAAAATCACAGCATACCAGATATGATGCCAACTCAATTGATTTGGGCACATCATATTTTTCTTCATCCTCTGTTGGCTGACTTTCAAAAATGTAAGATTCTGGAGAAGAAATAACAAATGACCATACTTAATATGACAGTGTTCCCATTAGAACACCATACCACATAAGATTTATATTATGTTTCTCATTTTATATATGATGCTGTCTTTATATATTTGGCAATTTTATGTTGGAAAATAAATATATATATAAAAAAGAACACCATACCACAATGAACACATGATAAAAATAATTCAGAATTTTTAATGTAATATTTTACATAACAAAACATTTAATATCTGAAAATAGTCAAAGAAATCTGCCTTTTTCATACACATATTACATTTATTAATATTACATAATACTTTTCTTTCATACACATGGTAGTTACTGATATTATTCTGTGCTCTCAAATGAGCAGTGAATATACAACTGAACTTTTTCTTGCTAGTTTAACTTACAGGGAATCATTATCTTGTGAAATATGATGCAATTATGAACTGTTGCAGTCAGTAGACACTAGGAATCTTAGAAAATATTTGAATAGATTTGGTCATAATCTTTTTTTTTCCTGGAACATTTTCTTTCAGTATTTTCTGTTCCATTCTCCTTTCCATTCCATTTCCTATCCAACAGTTATTCAACATGCTGTGGCTAGTGAGCATACTTAGTACAGCATCACTGTACTATTCTGGGTCCTTTTGGACAATCGTAGGTTTTTCTTACAGATATTTTTGTATCCATTTCTGCAAAAGTTGGATTCTCACAAGTTTGCTTGCCTTTCCTTGTATCCAGATGGTGCCATTTTGATTATGAAAGGACTAGCATTCTGATAATAAATTCACTTTTAGTGTATCAGACAATCTGTTGATACAATCTAGCTAGGTCTGCAGTCCAACGAACCCATAGCTGTAAGGTCACTTGAATACAATGTATTTCTGAGTTAAAGGGAATAGATTGGACCATATCAATACGAATTGTTACAAACAGCAAAGAAATTCAACAGCTTACCTGCTGCTGAAATAGTAGCAGTATCAATGGGTTTCATTATACCCAATGCCTTACTGTGAGACAAGAAATACAGATCACTTTTGAAAGCCAGTAAAATGTCACCACAACTATTCAGGAAACAGGCTGTGGTTAAAGTGTTGTCAAGGGTGATCTCAGCCAATAGATTCTTCTGCATATCCCATAGTTTTACCATGGAATCTGAACTAGAAAATAAAGGAAATGTCTTGGGAATTCTTAAGTAGTAACTTGCTTCCAAGACTCACGTACAGTACCATGAAAGTAAACAGTTTACCATTAAAGTAAAAATTGTCATAATAAAAACTAGCAGCATCTGCAGACCTGTATTTCACTGCAAGACTGATAGAACAGAATGCATTTCTGAATAAAAGCGAACAGGTTGGACTATGAGTATAGTATATTACTAAGAGCACAGAGATTAAGTTCACATCTTTATACAGCTGGCTTGCTGCTAAAACACCACATCAGTCAGTTGTAGTAAAAACAACATAGAGTTCTGTGACTCCTTAAAATGCCACACATTTATTACAGCATATATTAGATGTCATATTACATTGTGCAGAGGTAAACTGATACAGAAAGTACAGACAATCACAATTATAATATTAACAATGACCATCCACCATGCTAAAGTGATGATTGTGATATTCCCTCTGGCCTCTCCATATTCAGTTATGTGTTGTGTGTATTGACATCTGTCTGAAATATAATGTTTCATGACTCTTATGAAAAAGGCTGTATTCCATGAAAAGACTAAGGGTTGTTCTGGGTTTTTCAGGCTCTTTGGCCGTGTTCTGAAGGTTGTTCTTCCTAATGTTTCGCCAGTCTCTGTGGCCGGCATCTTCAGAGGACAGCACTCTGTGCTCTGGTGTACAACCATTAGATCCCGACTGTGAAAGCCTTCGCGAATATAAAAGATTAAGGACTCATCTACACTAGCCCTTTCAGTGTAGTTTAAATAGGGTTGTTGGGGCCAGGTGGAGGTGCAACGTGCCATGTGGTGCCATGTTGTTGTTTAGTCATTAGGTCATGTCCAACTCTTTGTGACCCCATGGACCAGAGCACGCCAGGCCCTCCTGTCTTCCACTGACATAGCTTTGACTATGTGGACCTTTGTCGGCAAGGTGATGTCTCTGCTTTTAAAGATGCTGTCTAGGATTGTCATCACTTTCTTCCCAAGAAATTTTATGGTTCCTGTCACCATCTGCAGTGATCATGGAGCCCAAGAAAGTAACATCTGTCATTGCCTCCATATCTTCCCCTTCTATTTGCCAGGAAGTGATGGGACCAGTGGCCATGATCTTAGTTTGTTTGTTTTTTTAATATTGAGCTTCAGACCATTTTTGAGCTCTCCTCTTTCACCCTCATTAAGAGGTTCTTTAATTCCTCCTCACTTTCTGCCATCAGAGTGGTATCATCTGCATATCTGAGGCTGTTGATATTTCTTTTGGCAATCTTATTTCCAGTTTGGGATTAATCCAGTCCTGCCTTTTGTATGATGTATTTGGTGCCATGCTCACATCTAAACGGCATATCAGAGTGCAAGCAACCCTGTTTAGTCTGGCTCCTTCCACTCCCAATTTCTGATATCATGAAGTGGCTTAGTAAGGAAGCCAGTTCAGGATATTGGCAAACTGAATGTTTCCTCAATAGTCCACCTGACCCTCCATTGAAATTGACAGTGGAAGGAGCCATGACAAGTTAGGATTCACTTCTTCTTCTGTCCCCAACTATTGCATGTGCTGGAAGTGGACCAAATTATAGCAAACCTATCTTCTCCAAAAATGTAGAAGCCCCTTTGAGGGGCTGAAAAAAGTGAAGGTGGGGGAACTCTGAAGACAGGTTAGTTCGCTGTAGTGATTATGTCATCTGATCCTCAAGGAAAAAAGAGTGAAACAACCCACACCCACAATGTAGCAAATGCTCATCTTAATCAAGTCTTGAGTTTGTTAATCATTAAAGTGTCAAAGGGCTCTTTGCAATTTAGAGGAAAAACCTGTATATGAAACTTTTATAAGCCACAATTTAGCTGTGAATTTTACTGCATGATCAAGAACCAAATAGAAATTCTTGAAGATTATGTTGATACTGTTTGTTTTTGTTAATAAAATCTAAGACTGTGGGGAAAAGAATCTTACAAACTGAAATTTGGGCTAATGAGGCAGTTAAACAACTTCTTGTCCATGATCAGAACTCCATTAAGAAAACCAGAATTGATGGTGTTCAACTATTGTGGCTATCTGCAGATTGACTGGGAGTGCTGCTGGAGGCTCTGAGCTGGGTTGCTGAGCCTCATGCTGTTCCAGCTGCTACTACTGCCTCCAACATCTTTGTCTTCTCTTTAGCTCAGGTATAAATGTGCTGCTAGAGCATTCCACTCCACCAGTAATACATAGGATTCAAGACTCTGTCTCTGTTCAGAGGAAAAGTAGCTTAAAAGTTTCAACAGATATTTCTCCATCAAAATTACATTTGGGATATCCTTTTAAAAATATAACATATAGTAGGACCCCTATATTCATCGGGGATTTGTTACAAGCCCTGTGGTGGATACAGAAAACTGTGGGTAATAGTGAACATGAGAGAGGTGGCAGCGGGGTAAAAGAAAAAAAAATAGAAAACAATTATTTTCACAGGCATTACTAGAACTGGCCACTAGAAGGTACCAAAAACCATGCTATGTATTCTTCTATAACAAGTACTCATAGCACAGTCTCTGGCTCCATCTAGTGGCCAGTTCTGGCCACACATGTGAAAAAACTTTTCTAGATTAAAAATGTTTTTTTAAATATTTTCAGACCGTGGATAAGTGAAACTGTGAATACTGCTCTCATTGGCATGGGGCTCCTACTGTATTCTGTTCTGCAACCATTAATGTTTTAGATCCCACAAGTGCTTCTTAGATACAATACAAAAAGTTTATGCTTAAAATAGTTGAAGTCTTCCTTACAATTTCTAGCTTACACTTGGTACAATTATTGGTCCTGCTAGTAAAACTCAGTAGGTACACTGGAAGTAAATGGTAAAAAAATTACCATGGATTGCTGGATCATGATCCCAGCATTGGCAATTCAGTGGTAACTTTTTTAAATTATTAAACACTCCCCTCTATCTTGATGCTCCTAAAGGCCAGGGTAAAAGGGAGCCCCAGGAAGTCTCAGAACTCAAAAACAGGGGACTAGGAAGCATCTAATTACTTTAAATTCCATCCTTCCAGCATCTGCTCTGGGTTACTGCCAAGTTACGCAACAGGACTGTGTCCATTATTTTGTATTTGTGCTCATACATGATGTCTTTTTTACAGGCACACTTAATATGAGTCTTCCAAACACTAATTTTTTCTGCAGTAACACTGTCTCATCCATGAAATTTTGCAGGAGGTTCAGTTATATCCCCCTTGTATTTCTTTTACTGCTCGTTCCATTTTAAAAATACCTATACTGTAGAAAACCTATTAAGAAAAGAGGAATGCTTGCACACTGCCTTTGGATGAATAGTAGCAAGTTGGAAGCATTGGAAGTAGCAAGTTGGAAGTATTGAGGTAAGGCCCGAGTCACTGTTTCTAGTACACATAACTACATATACCTGTATTGCTGGCTCCTTCCAATATATTTTTACAGAGCCAACATATCCCTTCTTAGCTACTAAGCTCCTCTAGTCACTTGTAAACCAGATTGCAGGGACAGAAAGTGTTTCTGGTTACTCTGCGAACCTTCTCATTTGAAATTTATCTTTTTTGTACATGGATGACAAACTTTAGTGGATATGCTTTATGCTGGTATTGCAAAGAAGGATATTAATATTTATCCCTCTTAGAAATGCTTGTGTAATATACAGAGGAGTTTGTTTCATACCTACATACTATTATTGGCTTATAGTAGTCAAGGCTGACTAGATTCTGAAAATTGCTTTCCTCCTTCTTGATTTCTGCCTGGTGAATCCCAGGGTTGAACTCAAAGAGGTGTTGACAAATGGATTACCTACACATTCCACAGATATGACTACAGTTTATTAAGGTCATCAAGTGCATACTGATTAACTTCACAAGATGTATGTTCAACAGTGCCTTTTAAACTAGCTGTCAGAAATGAAAGCTATCTTGTTTCTTGAATGAACTGGTGTTCTTACAAGTTCCAAAATGCACCAGCCAAAAATGAAGATAAAGTCTGCATTTTTAGAGTATTTTAGTGGCATTATCTGCCTAACATAAGTGTAGTGATGTTATGATAATTATTATAGAGCTGTACTTAATCTTTACATGATAAGCAAACAAATCCTGTTCCAAGATATTTCTTGAAAAACATTCTGGAAAAATTAAGATGGTGGCTGCTACTTTGCTGAGTCCTTCTTTCAGAAAGCTTAGCTCTGAAAAAAAATTAAACAAAGAGGATAATGGCTTGAAACAATGAACAGTCCCAGCATTTGCTCAGATCAAGTCAGGTGCTAAGCCTTGTAGTTACAGCCATTGCATGGATTTATGAATTTTACAGCACATATATCTTCATCTCCTTTTTATTGAAAATAAAAAAGGTAACACCCATACTTATACCTACCCACAACTTAAAAAGACAGAAAGATCCTTGCAAGAATCAACTGCTACTACAGGGCCATTGTGGCAGTCTTCTGAGCAAGATGAAGCAAATATTCTTTCACTTTGCCCTAAAGACAGAAAATAGTTGTTAAGAGTTGAATTCTAACTAATTTAATATTTTGAATAAAGAATGGCTTGTCAGGAGAACATCTATATGCCAGAATATACTTCTTCAAGATTATTTAACATACAGTTTTGTTTTTCACATATTTGTTGGTTAATGCATTGTTAATAAATCAACATAGTATTTTATTTTCTAAGAGTTTAATTCACAATGCAGAAACTTCCCAGAGTAAAAATGTTTTTATTGCTTATGTCATCTGATGATGTAGCTGTGGTCCATGAAAGCTTAAGAAAAAAAAACTTGTCAGTCTTTAACATGCCACTGGAATCTTTTTCGTTGTTGTTATTGATGTGACAAACATACTAACCCTTCAGAAAATCTACTGGATTAATCCTTTTAATATTTTTATGCATAGGTTTTTTTCTTTACCTCTAACAATGCCGAACAGACATTTATGCAATGGCCTGCAATAATAATAAAGGCACTTAATAAAAAGGCTCTTTATTATTACGTTTATTATAAAGTTCTTTATAATTCATAGGTGAACAGAACTATAAAAGCTCTATACTAATAACAACTAACAACTAATTAAAAATGGGTTGATAGCTTGGCAACACCAGTTTGAGCTGAGTAAAAATATATTGAGTATATAGCCTCTTTAAAAAAAGGAAAAGAAAAGAAAACAACGTACAAAATTAAGCTCTGAATCACTTACTATGTATTAGGCAAAAACAAAAGAAAAAGAACAAAGAAAAGAGGACAAAATCATTGTAGCAGTCAGTAAGGTGGCACAACATTTTAATCCTCTTTTTTAATTTTTATTCTTTTTTTCATCTGATATGTTAGCTCAGATGAACACAGCCACCTCTTCTAAAACTTACTACTTACTATGCATTATAGATCTCAATTTAAAAAAGAAAAAGAAAAGCGTCATAAGTATCATACTGATAAATACATGTGGGTGGAATTAAATAGAATGTATGAGAGTTTTGTATAAATCAGATTAGGCATAGAGAAAAAACTGTGATGTTGATCATGAAATACCTGCTAGGTCTCCTGACAGAGTCATAGGCCCAGCCCAGCCCTTCATGATAAGAGGACAGTATCAATATGTGCACATAAAACTGAGTTTGTTTCTTAAATAGTCAATAAATCTGAAGGATATGCGGAGTCATAGTAAGAGCATGACATTGCAAAAAGAAATTTCAGATGACGAATAAACAATATTTACTCCCCTCGGTCTTTGAAAGCCAAAACATATTCCTAAACAGTCGATATAAATGCATTTTTTCAATACGTAGGTACTTAAATGTTTAAATCCAGATAAGCAACTTCAGTTCTCCAGTTGCTGCCCTGCTCATTAATGTGGTCATCCCAGCCCTCCTCCCACCCCCAGGTGCCAAATTCAGAAAATATGCATTTTCTATTATGGAAAGTGGCAATTTATTTTATTATTTCTTAGAACTAATGGCTTTATAAAAGGTATGTGCAGAAATACTACAGGAAATTGTATTATTTTGCAATAGTCATGAGGATGGGAACTGACAAAGAAGTGCCCCCCTCCCCCAAACTTTGGCTTGCAACATGCCACCTACACAGAAGACTAATGCCAGCATATGCGTGAGAAGGAATGAATTAGTTGCTGCAAACAGATAAAGAGGTTCTGTACGAAGCGGACAAGTCACACCTCTGAAACAGATGAGTCAAACCTGACTGGTTGCTTAGAGAAACTCAGAGTTGTGAGGTGACACAAAACCTACGTACATTTCAAATTTTAAGTACATATCACCAAACCTGAACTTCAACAATAATATTAATACGTCATGTCACATCAGATATAGTTAGACATCTAATTTAAAAAGAAGCAGGTGGCCAAACATTGGTATCTGCTTAATGCTCTGTTTGTCTATCAATTATATATGTGGGGAAGTATAGCCTGTTGTCAGAATGTGTCACCAAGGATCCCAGCACAGCCTCCCCACCACCACTCCCATATATTCAGGAGTAGAGGGTTGTCCGAAACTATCAAAAGTGTCAGAGATATACAGCCTGCCATTTTTATGTAACTTCACTTCCTTTGCCTATTGTAGCCAGAAAATGAAAAAGATAGGCAAGCAGGCAGGCAGACAAGCAGGCAGGGATAAGTCTTTTTTGGAACAGGACGTAACCAGCCATGTTTGGGGAGGGGGAATGCATCATGTTTGGAAGTAATGTTTTTTCCTAACATGCAACAATACCCTTTTACCATCTTGATATGCTCACCTGAGGCTTCTGGGAGCACATTTTATGATTTGAGGGGTCATTTTCCCCTTGGGAGTGGGAGTCTCCAAGGTCCAAAGAAGGAAAGAATGGCTGCCAGACTCTCAGAGGTTTCCCATCCTGACTTATCTTTATTGCTTTTGAGCAGAGTGGGGAATTGGTTTGGCCCCATGATTTAGATTGTCAGATAAGGCTGGGTAATATGGTCACAAGCTCTTCCTTCCTCTAATCTCACCTACTGTAATCCCACCCCGAGATACCTCCTTGGACATTGCTACTTCTCTGCACACAGGTAGGAAGGCATTTTTTTTTTGTTTCTCTCTCCAACAGATGACAGTATGCAGGATTTAGAGGAAGGGAGACCTGAAGCATCCCAAGAGATGGATTTTAACATCCTTTAGGCCAGAGGTAATCCTTTGCTGAAGATGAACAGTCAAAATGCAGCAAGGAACTGAGACATAAACCTTGCTTGTCCTCACAGAAAAAGGTAGGGAACTGTCACTTGTTCACTTCAATCTGTGAGTGGAGAAGATGTTTTTTCTGGCAATATTCACTCAACATCTAATGCAACGTGCATAATTTGCACAAATTTCGCAGAAATACATCTTAATTGCTTCTTTTAATCATCAAATGGGAGACTTGAAAGTTTTTTTAACAATCAGCTAGTTCTCTCTCTCTCTCTCTCTTGCTTCTTCAAGGGAAAAGATACTAATTTTGTGCAGAGTGATGCAAAGACATTTTGCAGTACATTTCTGGAACTTGCACAGGAAAAAAACAGTTTTGTCTCTCTCATATTGCAGCCAAGGAGGCTTGCAGACCATGAAAACACCTCACTTTTTCTTGTTACAACATATATACTACACCATAGTGCTAACACACTCTCTGGGTGATTTACAATATAATTATGCAAGTGACACTTTTTCCTCCATGGAGACGAGTGCTCATTTTACCAGCCTCAGAAGGATGGAAGTCTGAGTCAGTTATGAGCTAGCTATCTGAGCCCATCAAGAGCAAACTTAGGTTGTGATGACAGGCTTGACAACAGTACTTTAACCACTTTTTATCATTTATCTCATTTAACTCATTTAAATGTCTTTATTGTGTCAAGACAGCCTAAATGATTAAGAGTGACAAATGAAGGCCAACCCACATTTGATATTCAAGTGTTTCTGCATAAATAGATAGATAGATAGATAGATAGATAGATAGATAGATAGATAGATAGATAGATAGATAGATAGATGGATAGATAGATAGATAAAAATAGGTTGCAGTCCTCCACCTGGATTTACTTCAAGCAAATAGGGAGTTATATGTACATTTACACTCTTGTTTCAGAACATCTGATAGCCATCAAAATAAGAGTAATTCAGAATTTTTCCTGCAGTAAGTTTATGTCCTAGCTCCTCCAGTTTATACATTCATTGAACTACATTGAATTATTATCAACAAGGATCTTACCACTATTATTCAACTTTTTTTCAGAAAACGCTGCTTCTTCATCTGCATTTAGAATGTTTAAAATATCCACAGTTCCAGATGCCAGGCCAACAAATAGTGATCTGTTCTGAAATAGGCATAACATTTTAGCTTGATATAAACAAGTGCTCTGTCTTTTGTGCTGATTGCTTTTGTTTATAACAGAGTTGCAGAATGAGTCTGCGGGACTGGACCAGATCATCACACCTCCAAACCCATGTGTCTCCACCTCCTCAGGTGGCATGCTCATTCCCTGATGTTACAACCATAGTTCTGGCCCCAATATCAGATTATGGACTGTCTACAGCTAGTACTGCAGCCAAAAAGGTGACTGTGTTGCTCAGTGCTTCTGTGTCTGCTAGAGACTTCACAAAGGAAGTGAAGCTACTGAGATCCCAGGACTGGAAAAAATAGACTTCCAGCAGTTGGTGCTGGGATTGGCTTCACCTGCCCTGTGCTTCACCAAAGAGGGTGAAGCCAACCCCAGCATATGCTGAGGAAGTCTGTTCTTGCCAGTCCTAGGATCTCAGTAGCTTCACTTCCTTTGTGATTTTCCCAGTGGGGGGAGAATGGGGCAGGCAAAGCTCCTCATTGTTATCACTGTCATCTTGCTACTGCAGATGACAACAGAGACTCTCCCATACATCACTGGCCTTTCCAATGGGGAGGGTGCATGGGAAATTCCTGCCATTATCTCTGATCCCTGATTAAAAATGCCTGGGAATCCCCATCCCACTCTATTTCACTTGGACAGTGAACAGATGGGTGGGGGAATCTTCAAAGATCAGATATCCCCTCCACTCTTTATGGGCCACAGGCTTCCAGCTTTTGTTCCAGAATTTTAGAATTAATTACATGTTCTTAACTTAGGGCAGTGGGTATTACAAGCTGTTAATTCAAACTCATGATAACGCTTTTGGAAGTCACTTCCATGTCCCAAATTATAACTTGGGAAGTATTTACTGAAGTGGCTACTTCCTCAGAAGTCCTCAAACATTCTGAGATACAGAAGAGAACAGGTAAGCTCCACAGCAGCTCTTTTAGAAGCAACTGGCTTTCAATCTTCCCTACACTTCTGCTTGTGATAGCAAAACTGCTTACCAGGATTTCTTTGATGTCAAAAGAACTGTGAATGATAATATCAGTGCATTGATTATAAAATCTCCATATTTAGTTTTATATACTTTTAATGATCTGGCCTAGGATGAATCCAGCTGCATTAAATACAATACAGGTTTATGCTAGTTTAGAAGATGCATGAAGAAATCAGCCAATTATAGAGAATAATAACTATAGTTTATCAGCAATTTTATTTATCAACCCAGCTAACGACACCCATCAATCACAGTGACAGATAATCTCTCCCCCTTCCCCCCTCTATCATCACAACAAAAACATGCTGATCACCCTATCTCCTGAAAAAAGACAAAAAGCCGTTCGCACAGCTATAAATACTATCCAACAAACACCAGCAGAGCATGGACAGAGTTCCTACTCCAGTCCTCTGAAGATGGCGGCCACAGAGACTGGCAAAACGTCAGGAAGAACAACCTTCAGAACACGGCCAAAAACCCCGAAAAACCCACAACAACCAACCCATATTCTCATCAAATTACTCAATCGTTCTTGTTACTCACCAGCCTGGTAAAGACCAGAGTGTCATTTGATACTTCAGCTTGGAAGACCAACTCCAGAGCGGGCAAGCTTCTGAAGTGTATCAGTTTGCTTTTTGATCTTTGATACATTATTATGAGTTCCTGGTGAACCACATCATGTTTTAAGTGGATAACCTAAATCAATTCACATTTCTCTTTAATAAAAGCAATGGCTTAAATCATAAATACTTGGTAAGCTTTTTTTAAAAATTAAAACTCAAATCAGATCATCATTACATTTTGAAAGTAAGATGATAGTGTGTTATGGTAGCAATAATAAGAACTTGAAATTAATTTTTAAAGACAAACTCTAATAACTCATATATTAAATTCAAAAATGTAATAATTGTCATGACCTTCAAGAAATATCAAACCCATTTAATGAAAAGGGGTAGTGGTTACTACTAGAAGTTATCAATGTTTATTATCATCAGGTCAGATTCCATAAGTATTTGAAAGCTACATGTGCAGAAGCTTCTCTCTACTTCTACTGGAAAAAATGTACTAGAGAGGCCCGAGTTGACTAGATAGGCGGGATGTAAAATAAATAAATAAATAAATAAATGATTTTAAACACTGGCTCCATGTCTTTTTAAAAATACTCTTAAATAAACTCAGTTACCTGTATAGCATTCACATCTACAGCATCTAATTAACGAAAGCTGTACACTGAAAGTATGTTACATACTTAGCAGATTCTTAGACACAGAGCTTCCTTAAGTGCTGACAGGTATCTATTATAGCAGATGCTTCTACTCCATTCTTTATCTTGCCTTCGAGCAACCTTTGTTTTGTGATTAGTCAAAAGGACATGCAAGCACCATTTCCAAGTCTGCTTACTCAACCCTGTTTCACCTCAGAAATAACAGATTGGGCTCAGTCCTGTTGATGCTAGCATAACATAAAGTTACACCTGTGTAAATATGCCAGGCATTAAATTCAGTAACAAGAAATTATGCTATTCAGTTTTTCAAGTTGTGCATGTATAGTTGCAACAGGATTTGGCCAACAGGGGAAAAAGTTTAGTCCATTTAACTCACCCATATTATTTTTATTATGCCCCCTAAGAACCAACTAATAAAATAACCAGCAGTACGAATCCACAGAACTGAACGAAGGAGTTTTGTGGACATGATGGGGTTATGTATGCATATAAAAGCTTCTGTTGGCACAATGATCCACTGAGTTGTAAACAAAGGTGATGCATTTCAATCTTTGTACTGCATGGAGAGCAACAGCAGTGCAAGATAATTCATCCAGGGAAATTATTGTGGCAGTATTTCAGGGCAACTCCATGGGAGTAGACAAAATGTTAATTTTCACATCATAGATGTAACATAATTCTAGTAATTTATCACTGGATTAATGAGTTAAAGACACTCACTCCATCAAGAACATTTGATCTGTGATACTATTAAACACTATCAAATCAACACACAAAAAACACAGATCTCTCTCCTTTTAATGCTTATGCTACAATTTGTAAAGAAAAGAACTAAATGGCACTTACTGGATCTCTGTAGGCTATCAGCTCATAATATACCAAATTCTGTATTGATGTATGAAGAAACAATACTCTTCCATCCTTTATAAAGGGAATATGATTACATTTAATGTAATGTAAAACTGTTATCTATTTACACATAAACACACACACACACACACTTTTGCTGAGGATTACAATAAGGTCAGGGCCATCTTTAGTACACAGTATTCAAGTAGGACATTGTAGAAGGCCCTAATATATGGATATACCTCTATAGAAGATGGAGGCCCTAGGATATAGTTTATTTATAGTAAAAATAATAAGCAGAGGATTTACTTTAAACCCAGAGCAACTTGCAGACTGGCGAACTAGGGAAGAGGATAGATGAATTATGGGCTTCCTATTTTTGGCAAATCTTGAGGTGCTTATATTTCTAAATAGGCATACATGAGCAGAGAGAAGAGGAGGGTAAATAATTCCACTGAACCTTATTCTGATCCCTTCCCATAAGTGCAGTGCTGTGCAGTCTTATGGAGTGGCTGTTGTGCAGATAAATTATGCTCCTAGATGCTTCTTGTTTTATCAAACTGCCATCAGTTTTAAAATCTTCCAGATTAAACTGGTGGTATATTTGGAACTTAGTAGTTTGCTAAGAAAATAACTCCAGTGAATGTATTTTGTATGCAGTCTTGAGATATTTTTCTGATCAATAGATCTAAAAGGTAATGCATACTATCTCAATGCAGAAATAATGTTAAAATGTTCAAGATTTTCACGTCCTATAGCAAATTTGCATAAACATTCATATTTAAGTCTTAATCCTATCAAAGTATAAGATTTTCCTTGTATAATCTAGCCAGATCCATTTCAATCTGGATCTGATTTCAAGTCTGGATTTGGGATGGAGGTTCCCTACACTGGGAACAGGGCAGGGTGTGTGCGTGTGTCCCTGTTGATTCTTCTGGATCTCTCAGTGGCTTTCAGTATCATCAACCATGGTCTATCCCTTCCACCAATTCCTCTGTAAATTCATTGATTCAATGAGCCTAGCTGTGACTGACTACTACATCTCAGTCTCTGAGTCAAAGTTTCAAGCAGACATGTTTTCCTAGTTCATCTACACTGACATGGGCAAATATAGTCCTCCAGATGTTTTTGGCCTACAGCTCCCACCTGCCCGAAGTCAGCTGGTGGGAGCTGAGAGTTTATGGGAGTTATAGTTTAAAAAGCATCTGAAGGGCCAGAGCTACACATCTAGTCTTTATTTGGCAGGTGGTGTTTGAAATCATCTATGTGAGGCTACTCCTAAGACAGAAGCTTCAACAGGTCCAGAATATGGCAGTCAGGCTAATAATGTGAATGAATAAATTCTATCACATTTCCCAAACCCTGGCCATATGACACTGGTTGCCTGTTCACTTCTGTATTAGCTTCAAGTTGATGGTTCTATCATATAAAGCCCTAAATAGTTTGGAACCTTGTTACATGGCAGATCACCTGCTCCCACTCACTTCTCCCATACTGGATGGCTGAGGGTGCTAACCCTGAGTGAGAACCAGAAGGAGAGAACAAGGAACCAGGCATTCTTGGAGGTTGCACCCCACCTCTGAAATGAATTGCCAACTGAATTTTGCCTGCCCCTCTCCTTGGCATCTTTTAAGAAACTTTTAAAAACACATCTACTCCAACCTTTTCAAAACACTGCCAACTTAAGAACTTGTTGACTACTGGCCTTTTCCTCTACAGCCATCATTTTTAACCTTGTTCAATTTTGTTTTGATTTTAATCTAATTTATTACTTAATGTACTTTGATTTTATGCTTTTTGGTTGCTTGTGAACTGCCCAGAGTAGCTATTGGTCAGATGGGTGGTATATAAATTAAATACAAAATAAAAATTATAAATAATAAAAACCATTCAGTTATGAAATAATTTATTTGTATGAGCTACTTATTTGGGAAAGAGAAAAGATGAGGTCTGGTACTCCTAGTTATATGAGAAGGAAACTGGCAGGGTGAAGAGGCCTCTAGAAGTAAATAAAGCCAAGCCGAGTGTATCAGCCTATAGATGAGGATGCAACAGAGCAGACAGGCACACCACAGAACCTTAACTGCCTATTTCTATCTCTATTGTCTCCTATTGGCATATCTGCCTTCTTGAAAACATAAGCTCCAAACAAATTAATAACAGAGTAGTAAAAACTCAGGGCCAGAGTATGTTCTTCTCATGCAGCACAACCTAGGTTAGAACCCTAGTATCTCTAAATTTAAGAAATCATTAAAAGGGGTTTTTATAACTGATTTGGAAAAGAACTCTCCTGGAAATCCTGGAAAGCCACTACTTGCCAGAACAGATGGCACTAGAATGTGCAAGCCAATAATATGAGGAGTGTTTATATCAAATATATAGTCATTGTACTTTAAATTTTTAATTCACACATTACTTTATTTAGACTCTATCTCAATAAATTTTCTGCAGCTGCAGCTCTTGTGAACCACTTCATATGTTTATAAACGCACCCAATTCACCTCACTCTTTTCTCCCTACACACCTTTTACCTTAGGCATTTTCTCAAGGAAGAGAATGGGAAATCCCCAAGAAGTATGATGTTGCCCAACAAACTAAAAGAACTGATAATCTGAAGAATGCTACTTTCATTGCCTGCAGCCCAAAACAAGCTGATATGGACAACATTGTCTACTTTTATAGTTTCAACTTATACACCACCCCATAGTGCTAGAGCTTTCGCTGGGCAGTTTACAATGTAATTATTCAAGGAGCATTTTGCCCCTCAACAAGCTGGGTATTCACTTTACCAATCTTGGGAGGATGGATTCAACTCAGGTCATGAACTGAGGATTGACTGCAGTACTGCAGTTTTATCACTGTGCCATGAGGCGCAATTGGTACCTTTCAGTACCAAAATGCAAACCTTTGCAGAATTATTTGCATTTCCAATGACACTGAAACATGTAGATGTATTGTAACATTTTCAAGTAATGTATAATGGTAAGTATAATGCTAACTGATTAATATAGTTACATGTATCCTCCTGTTCTTTTCTTTACCTGCATACCAAGAACCAGAAATTCCTGACTATCTGCATACACCATTCCTTCATCTGTCAAGTAGCACAATGGTGAAGACAAGCTGCAGAGGCATTCGCATTTTGCTGGTGTCCTAAAATTTCTTCTTCGAGTATGCTGAAAATATTCATTCTTCTGAACACAGCTAGGAAGAAATATAAAGCCAGCTCTAAGTTAGTGTACACATATGGGACTACAAGTCAATTTACATATGCAAAATTTAATAAAGAATTTTCAGTAATTGTGTTTGAAATTAAACATACACTAGGATGAAAAACAGGAAAAAACCCCTAAAATTTTACTTTATAGATCTTGCAGGATATTTTCTGGCCACAGTGAGGATTTTAATGTGTATTGTGAGATACAAACAATCCCCATACCCAAGTTTGGAATATGAAAAATATATATATAATGGAATAGGATTAAAATCAACTCAAACATACTATCCTTGTATTACTGCACTCTTCCTCATCCTAGTGAATTCCAATGTTCCCCTATTTTTTTAAAAAAAACTTCGTTTCCCCTGAATCGGGCCAGTCTGCTGAAAAGCAGAGCATGTCTCTTCTGCTTTACTGCAGCAGACTTTGCTAAAATAAAAATAAAATAAAATAAAGGGTTTACCAAAAGTGGAGACACAAAAGACTCAGACTTGTCTTGCTGTAAACCATGTAGAGTAGTGCTTTGCACTAAGTCAACAGTATATAAATACACTAAATAAAGAAATAAATATTCCAATTTATGAATATTATATTGAAAATAAATGGTGTACAGGTAAATTGTGGCAAGAAAATAACATGCTTAAGTACAGCTTTAGTCAAGAAAAACACCTTAGAACTTTATAGAAATTGTTTATGCAATTTTTTTTTTCATTCTCTTTAGTTTTTAAAATACAGTTTGCATCAATGTTGTTTCATGTGTTTTCTTCTTCGCCTGTGTATGGTGCCCTTTGGCCAGGTCATCAAATGATTCTAAGATAACATGTTAACTCGTTATGACTAGTTTTTTGATGTTGTGTTCATTGCCTTAGATTATAATCTCAGAGCTAACAAAATAAAGCTATTTCTTCTCACATATTTAGATTGACATCATACCTAAGAGTTGTTTGTACATTTCCTTTAACAAGGAGAACATATATAGTTTAAATCATGCTAAATAGATTTCTAATTTACAGTAAATGCTTTTAATAAAAGCCTGGATATTTGCTAAAAGTTACAGTATCATATATCTAGAACGTTGAAAAATCCACAGAAAATTTTATTATCCAAACTTTGTCAAAGTATCTCCAAGCAGATTCTGACTTAATTAGGTCTCCATTGATTGATTTACAAGTCAATATATGAATAATGTGGCCAATGCAACCCGGCCCACATGATTTTCAGATTTTTCAATGCATAGGAATTAATTTTTATTTTTTTCTTTTCCCCATCTTGTGCCACATTGCTATTGTTATTTTTTTCTTATATTGTTTTTATTCCATTTTTTATTATTAGCCACCCAGAGTAGACTTCAGTCTATGTGGGCAGGTATAAATGTAATAGATAAATAAATAAAATAATGTTACGTTAAAATATTAAATAAATAAAACATCTTAGATACAAGTTCTTCTGTCTGTTAAACCCCTCCTTGCATTCATCATTCCTTATGGAGAAAAACTGATGAGATAGTATTTCAGAAATATCATCACATGAAATAATTGTTAATTATTTTTCAGAGATAAACTGTATACACTTAAACTTTAAACACACTAAGAACAAAACTTAAATGAAGCTTACCTTGAACAGAAAAGAACTAAAGCACAGAGCAGATGAAAAAGCTGTCAAACATTAATAATTGGAAATAGCAGGAACTTACGAGGCTAAGGGGTGTTTTCTATACAGGTGTTGCTGTAGCTCTCCAATGGTCCACACTGCTGTTCGACATGCAGGATCAGTTCTAGAATCAAAACATACTTCTGTATATACACAATTCAGTAGCTAAATGACTTTCTATTCCTTCACTAAAGTAAAATCATGTAAGAGGGTTTGGTGCAGTGGTTCCCAACACTGGGTCTCCATATGTTCTTGGACTACAACTCCCAGAAATCCTGGCCAGTATAGCTAGTAGTGAAGGTTTCTGGGAGTTTTCATCCAACAACTTCAGGGGAACCATTGGTTTGGTGTAATACCACCTCTCCTAAAATTGTAAATCCCTGGTCTGTAAGTTAGCCCGTCCATTCTCAACCCGTTCTCTGGGTTATTGGAGTTTCTCTTTTTTTCCAGTATTTGGCATATAAAATTCTTGCTGCTGTATTTTTTTTCTTTTCTATCAAATCGGGTATTATATTCAACAAAAACAGTTCAGGTTCATATGGAATTATAGAGGATAACATTTTTTTGTAAAAACTCATGGACTAGTTTCCAAAAGCTCTTAGCTTCCCTACAAGTCCACTACTGTGATAAAAGCTACCTTCTTTTGATTTGTATTTCCAACATTTGTTAGAGAACATCTTATACATATTTTCTTTGTAATTAATTGCTTTTGTTAATTTAATACTGTATTGTACTCTCATACTTGTGACCATGACTTTATGTTAATACTGTGGCCCACATTTTGGGCCCATTTTATCATACATTCTTTAACTATTTCATCTTGCGTTTTTGATTCTAGTAGATAATTATACAACATTTTGATCAGTTTTTCCTTTACATCCAGAAGTACCTTATCTAATGGTGTCTATTCCTTACAAAACCTTTTGTTTTATCTTATGTATATCTTGAATCTATTTGTGTTTTTGTCCACCAATCAAATATTATACCTTGTTCTTCTAATTCTTTCCTTGGTTTCATATTAAAGTCCTCTACTAACAAATCTCTATATTTCAAGAGTTTCTTCTTTTTCATTAATGTTGATTGTGTGAATGCTTCCATTGGTGAGACATATTCAGGAACTTTTTGGCAATTTTCTTCCTGGATCTTAGTCCATACTCAGTTCAAAACTTTCCTTATCAGATGATTCTTAAATTGCTTGTTGTCCTTTGCTTTTTGATACCATAGGAAGGCATTCCATCCTAGATTTATAACATGTCCTTCTAGTATTAGTATTCTGTCATTTTCTAAAACTATCCATTCCTTTATCCAAACTAGAGCACAGGCTTTATAATATAAAAAGCAATCTGTAAGTCCAAAGCCCGCTCTTTGTTTTGTGTCTTGAAGTGCTTTGATTTTTATTCTAGTTTTCCCCCCCTTGCCAGACAAACTTCATTATTTTTACTAGCATAACCTTGAGTCTTAAGGTGGTCTACTCTGTATCTTCCAAAGGGCTTCCCGATCATGCAAGCCCTTCAGTGAGTTGACATAGAAGATCTGCAAGGGTTTATGTCTGCCAGACATTCTAATCTCATAATTTACTGGCCCAATTTTCCTCACTTCCTCCAAGTGCCCTTATCATTGTACAAATAGCTTAGCTGAAGCTGACAGCAAGAGCGGCATCACTTTCTGATCTGAGAAAAACTCCTGGGTTGCACCTTATTATCATATTATTGTACTGTATCACCAAGACTTTTCCTAGCATCTATTTAGCTAACCTTGATATCAGGTTCAGATGTTCTCACATTTCTTTGACATGCTGTATGATGGGTCCTCCCATCATTCATTTAGGAAAGCTTAAAGCCATCTTCACTATCTTCCATACAGAAGTCCTATGAGGGATGAGGAACTTCTCTGACTGGTATTCATAGGGTATGCCACAGATGTGGTTCCTCCTGCACCAACTTGCTAAGCATTCCTCTTAAGGTACAGTTGAAGTGTTCTACCAAACGTCATACCTCTAACATTGCCCAAATTTGTTGGAAGGTCCGACTCATAAAATTAGTGCCTTGGTCTGTCAAAACCTATAATGGAAAAACTACTCAAGAAAATAAGGAAACCCTTGGCTGCAGTTGCATAGTCTACCATAACTAACATGTGAGTATCACCTCCTGTAGAACAAAGGAGTGGGACCACTATATCAAGCTCAATATGCTAAAAAGAATTATCTGCCAATGGCAGAAGGAGCACTAGGGCCCAGGGGTGAAGGAGTGGTTAGGAGAACTGGTATTCTGGGCTCAGCTGACGATACTGTTCCACTTCCTTAACTATTCACAGCCAGTCAAATGTTTAATTCTAGATAGGGTTTTCTTGGAGGATAGGTGCCCTGCCATGGGCATATCATGTGTGACCCTAACTATTACTACTTTCAGTTTATGGGGTCCACCTATTTCAGGGATTTCCTATTTTAGGGGAACCTAACATAGCAAACTATCTCTAAGTCTGAATTTAATACTACCTTGAATACTACTGTGATGGCTCCCTTCTGGTTGTTCCACCACTAGGGCTTGAATAAGAACAGGATCATACTGCTGCCACAGACAGATTTGCTCTTGCGTGACTTTTACCCAGGCTAATCCTTTTGAGGTGTCCACTGCTACTATAGCAATCTCTTCTTGCTTCTGCACCAGCAAGTCTAACCCCCCAGTCTCTGCCTAAAAGCATCTGCCTAGAGAAATCTGATATGATCCCTAATTTCAAATGTCTCTCTGGCCTGGTAATTTGGCCTTGCCAAGATAGCGACATAGGGTTTCATATCCCTGTGAACACATTGCACCATTAAAAAAGAGGGTTCCTGGATCCCTTTTACATGTTAGACTAGAGATCACCTTCACCTGGTATAGATTAGCCCTGGTGACTTATTGTAGGGTTTCAGACTGAGCTCTCTGTTGATCAACCAATACCACCAACACACACTGTTGTTTAGCTGTTTGCCTGATGAGCAGTTCCTGCCTCTCCGTAGCCCAGGTCCAAAACTACTCCATTGAATCTGGAGCAAAAGGAGAGGTCCCACATTAGCGCCATTGTGAGCCTCACCAACCGTGGCAACTTCAGTGGGAGCTTTTTCCTTCATTCCCAGTTCCATAGAGACACCGTAGAGGCTTCAACAGCAATGGAATTTAATAAAATGGGTACATGGGGAAAAGATCCAGCACAAGGAACTTCTTTCAGGATAGTTCCCATAAGTGTTCTTCAGAGTCCAAAAGTCCCCCTGTTACTACCATTCCTTCAATTTCTTTTCCTTCCCCTCAAAAGGTCTAGTCCTGGTGTCCACCCCCTTCCTGTCCGCAGCATGGAGGGTTTATATGCCCACACTAAAGGCAACAACAGCACTCCCAGTTCTGGGGAATCGTTGTCCCCTGGCTGGCATTTCCTTTCAGCGCTTCTCTTTTTTCTCCAGCATCCTGGTTGGGTTGTAGCTGGTTCACCCATCTAGGCTTCCTGCTGTCGATATCTCCATTCCCAGTATTCCCTTTCCTCTCTGAGTTTGGGAGGATTTAGCTGTCTCTCAGCCTCTTCCTGTGGTACTCTCAGTTCTATGATAACCTGAGCCAAGGGATCTTCTTTGTATACGTACTCTCAGTCACTCAGTGGCTCTGGTTCTTCTGGGGATTCTACCTCTGCTTGGTAGCCTTTCTGTGGTTCCTCTAAGGCATCTCCTGAAGTTTTCCTAAGGCATTTCCCCAGTTCTTCTCTTTAACCTCTTCTACTATCATATCCACAGAGCATTTTGCCATCTACTCTGCTTGTTCTTTGTTTCCCTCCTTCTCCTGATCCTCCTTTCCTGGCTCCAGAGCTTGCTTTATATCTCCTAGCTCCCAGGGCCAGTTTCCCCCTCCTCAACTGGAGGGTGTTCCCCGCCACACATCACCTTCCCAGGTATGTTGGGGGGCTGTTCTAGGTTCCTGGACCTCAAATTTTGTATCTCTGTATTGCACAGGTACCCACTTGGCCCAGAGTGCATTGCCTGGTCTATTGGGAGCTGGTGGTCTCAAAGTCTCTGGTTCAAGGAAAACAGGAGACAGCTCATGCACAGGTGCCCTGGTGGTAGTGTCTTCCTCCTCATACCCACTTACATAACGCCACTCTAACAGTATGAATTTAATAGCCATCAATGAACCTGGTTCCATACTGCCAATTGGGATTCAATCTTGCTTTGCTTTGATGTTTTATAGAAGATGAATGTATTTGCTATTTACTTCCATTCTAAAATACTTAAAAAATACCTTCTTGCTTATACAATATTGTAATTTTGGGCATTTAAGTAATACCTACTCTATGAGATTGTATGAACTGCAAACTCAGATGAAAAAATAAAGTTCTGAAATTCATATGGTTACCAACATAGTACAGATTCAACACAGAGGAAGTGCATTTGCTAACTTATTTTTATGCCTCCATTTCATTAGCAGGGGATCTAAATTTCTTTCATTGTCATTCATTAGCCTCTTTTAAAACAATGTAAACAGGTCTATGCTATCATCAACTATTATAGGAGTGAAAATGCCAACATTTTTTACCTTGCTGTGTAGACCCATATATCCCACGGTGTCAAGAGAAAGTAAATAGTTCCACTAGCTTGGTTGTAAGTAAAGTGTATAATTGGCTGGATTAGAGGGGGATAAGGAGGTGGCAGAACTGTGCATAATCGTGTCCCACTATGAAGGGAGTATATCCTTAAACTTTAGAAAGAAACAGAGAGAAAATTTTAAAATAAATGTAAAACCTATGCACAGAATATGACATATACAAAGAGAACTCTTCTTCATTGTCATAAAAAGTCCCATAGTATCATTGTTACTTTGGAAACTTCTTCAATTTGTAAAAATTATTATAGGGTGGTACATTCCAGATTTTGATAGTAAATAATTATTTTGGGGTGGATACAGCCAATGCCTTCTTCAAAATGTAGCTCTTGTTAAACATGCAAATAAGTTTATTTTAAAAAAACTTGTGTCATTTTTTATATTTTTTAATATACTTGTTTCATTTTAAAAAAAAAGTTTATTTAATTTTTTTTTCTATTTTTACTAACATTTCTACATACCTGTTGTCAGTACCCATGGCAATCACCCTGTTCGACTTCCCATCAGCACCACAGACATACATATCACTTATTGGACTATTGACACGAGTCCAAAAGCTGGTAAAGGTGTTCAAATTGAATATATGAAGACTGCGGGCAGAACAACAGTATAGATATTTATCTTCCACTGTACCAATCCATAGTATTCCTTCTTGGAATGGTGATAAGCTAGACATAAAAGAATGGCATTGTAGACAAAATTTGAAGTAAAAAAAGGTGTCATGTACATGTTATCTATTATCAGTTTGAAACACATATCCTCACTCTTCCAAATCTATCATATTTATTTAAAAAATAGTAATAGTCTGCATTCCACAACCAGGGGAGCTACAAATGTTCCATACTATGACTTCCATCATCCATGACTATTGCTAATTCTGGCTAAGGCTAATTAGAGATATAATGTGAAATATTTCGGGGAAACTTTTAAAAACTGAAGCACTTTAAAAAATGAATTGGATTTATATCTCACTTTCCTCCAAAAACGAGACAGTGAATAGTATGATTGGACAGAACTACAATTAAAACATGAAACAGTTCAAACAACAGATTGAAAACACATTTTAAAGCACATGACACCTCCCCAGTTAAACACCTCTCCCACAGCAACAGACGTCAGTTGTCAAGGATCTATCAGAATTGTTTACAAGTCTGCATGCTAGCAGAAAGAAATCCAGGTTCCTTACCTGTAATGTCTGTTGTTTAGTTGGTCACATATGCATTTATACTAGTGGGTCGCATCTGCACAAAGCCACCCTTCAGAATCTTCTGGATGGAAAGAGTTTTGGTCGTAGCCCACCCCTTTTCTTTAAAATGTTCATGCTGATATGCTTCTCCTCAGTTCAAAATCAGATAAGTCAGTGGCAGAGTTTCAGTTGTAAGGGGATGCCAACAAAGGGAAGAGTCATGTGAGTGCATACATGGTGCCTAAATATTCCTGGTGAGAAATCTGTTTTGCTTATTATTATTTTCTATGCATTGACACTAACAGTGAATATTACAAAGCCCACCTCCAGAAAAGGCTAGAGAGGCAGGCAGTTAAACTCATTGGAATCCTATAAGGAGACTACTCTTCCAAAAGAAGAACAAGCTGCTTAGCTGTGACTGTGGTTCTTTGAGAAGTCATCTGTGCACTCACACCTATGGGGATGTATGCACCTAGTCTGCAAGGACAGAATCCTTGTAACTTTCTAGAGCTGAGCCAAAGCATTTTGGCAGGAGCCCTGCCCATCCAGCGAGTGTGCTCCAGCCAATCCTTCCCCTTCTGTTCAGTTTTGGTCCACTGTGAAGATGGGGACATCTGAGTAGGGAGATGGCCAGGTTGTGTTAGTTCACAGATGACTCCTCAAAAAGAACAACAGTTACAGTTAAGCAATCTATTCTTCCTCTTCAGGGCCTCTGTGAATGCACACCTATGATTGATTAGAGACTTTATCTCTTGCATGGCAGACAGATGTCACTGGAGAATGTCCAGGCAGTTGTGTTTCATAAAGGTGCCAATGTTATCGTATATAACTGCTCTCTGAGGAGCAGAGGGTGCTGTGGATCTCACTGACTGGCCTCTAATGGATTGCAGCAGAGATATATAGGCCATCTGATAATAGAATGCTATTGTGTCTGTTACCCATTTTGCTGTGTGTTGTGGGAACCATAGCAGATTATCAGTTTCGCTATTGTGTCTGTTACCCATTTTGCTGTGCATTGTGGGGATACCGGCTATTCCTATTTGTGGGAACCATAGCAGATTAACAGTTTATGTGGTTTCCTGAAGGATTATGTGCAGTGGACATACAAAGGAAGTACTTTCCACACATCCAGAGTGTGGAGTGATCTTTCAACCACTGCAACTGGTTTTAGGTATAACATTGGAAGTGAAATACTCTGGCCCAGATGGACTTCTGACACCACTTTGGATAAAAAGGAGATGTTGAGGTGGGCAGCAACTTTGTCCTTGTGAAAAATAAGGTGTGGAGTGTCTGTTTGCAGAGTACAAAATTTACTAGCCCCTCTGCCTGATGTGAACCTGGCTAGAAAGGCTGGTACTGAGCTAATAGTAGCAGCCCATGGGAAAGTCAGTGGTCAGATAAGGCAGGCATTGGGAACATGACTACATATCTGTGTTGTGCCTAATAATATAAACAATATCCATGTTAACTTACTAGACACAATATCCTACAAATATTTACTTACAAGCTCTTATAATCTACTTTTATTTATACAGTATGAAAGTTTACAATATCCAAACCACATACCGTAAATTGAAATATGTACAGCCATATTGTAAACTTTCATACTGTATAAATATAAGTAGATTATGAGAGTATATAAGTAAATCATTGTAGGTTATTATGTTTAGTAAGTTAGCTTATTATGCTTAGTAAGTTAACACAGGTTTTGTTTATATATTGTTAGGCTTTCAGTGCACCGTGTTTCTCTTGCTTTTTGGGATATCAGAGAGAAGCTGTTGGGGAGCTATAAATTATTATGCATTGCCAGAAGAACCTTTGGGGAGACAATGTGGAAGTTTACTTCTTGCTTGCTAGTCTGTGCTATTAGTCATTCTCAGGATTTTTGACAAATACAGTGGCAATGACTTTGCCTGCTCTCTGTTATGAAGATGACTCTATTTAGACTGAATACTATGATCTACAGACAGTACTGACCTCCTGCTTGTTAATACGGACTGTCTGAAGGCAGTGCAACTCAGCAGTTGCTGCCTGACACACAACACTTGATCCCGAAACCAGGGAAGGGGCAAGACACAAGAAGCAGGTGCAGAGGGCTCACCAAAGCACACAATCTCAGTAGGGAGATTCAAAGCAACAATCCAATACTGTATAAGTCCCACAATTAAACATCACCCACAAGGAGAATTCAGGTTCCAAAAACCTCGTTGCCGTTTAGTCGTGTTCGACTCTTCATGACCCCATGGACCACAGCACACCAGGCCCTCCTACCTTCCACTGCCTCCCGGACCTCCAAAGACCTAGTAAGGCACAGATCAGGACTCCAAAGCAGGTGTCTAAGCATATAGGAAACAAGTAGAGGCAACGTCTCCAGTAGCTTGCACTCCTGGCTAAAAGTATGTTTTTCTTTCTTTTTTAATATAGCTGGGCTGCCAGTACTCTGGCCAGAACTCAGCTGCAAGATTTAGCTCTTTTTTAATCTCCATGGGAAGAAAGCCATCTCCTAAGGTGATCCCCTACTCCTGAGGAAGCTCATTCCCTCAAAAAGTCATTCTTTGCAGCCAAGCCCCATACCTTGGGATTTCAAGTCTCTGCCTCTGCCTTGACTCCTGAACTTGTCATCCATAGGCTTGGGCACCTGCCTGAGGGTCCAGTGTCTGTGGAATAATGGTCAGAGATTCTTCTGTTGTACTGAGTTCAGGAGTGTTGTGTTTATCATCAGTGGACAACTCCTTTGACAAGGACATGATGACCACAAACATGGGTACTCATATTTGCAATCCTCTGACCTCCTCGAAGAGCAAAATGAAGGTGGTATTGCTGCTCACAGGTAGATGAGGAGACAGGTGTGCTGGACAGTAGGCATTGCTGAGACCACCTTGCATGCTCAGGTGCATATTGCTGGGCCAGTACAGCCACACTGGTGTCATACCGAATTAAATACTCTCTGTAATACAGACCTCTGAGTCATGGCATTAAGATGAGTGAGGTTGGCAGCTGTTGGATGGTGCATCAGCTCTGCTTAAGGATTTATTCTTCCTTCTTCTTAATTGCCAAAATGGAGGCTGCTAAGGAGGTTTTCTGAGCCCTACACTTGTGAATGAATGAATGAATGAAAACACTTCTGAGGACTCTAATTTCTTGCCCATGCCTTCCAAAATTCTTGCTGGGATAATTCTTGGTGAATTCTGAGTACAAAATTTCAATGCCTAACTAAAATTACCTTCTCCAAAATACAGCATCTTTAACCTGATGCTATACAGTAGATTCACCATGTCTAGTTGAAGAAATGGTGACAAATTTTATAGGTGGAGATTAAAGGGTCTCTCCCAAACAGGTGTGGCTGCTGTAGAAGATGAAATAGAAATGAAAAGTATGCTGAAGTGTACAGTGCAAATGGAAGGGGCAGGATTACCACAAAAACTCTCTCCATCCAGAGGGCTTCAAAGGGCCATCCTGTGCAGATACAAACTCATTAATGTGAATACATAGAGACCATGAAGAAGAACCATAACTACTTTACAGGCGGACTACATTAGTCAGTTTGGCACATAAATATAACTAGCACATACCCCCCAAAAGAAGAGATTACATGAAAATATATAACTGTTGTTAAAATTTCTGTATCATGTACAAAATTGATTAGATAAAGCAAACTATGTTCCAGTTTATTTTGGTGCCATATGAAATCCATTTGGGTGCCATGACAATTACATATCTTATAGAACAAAGTGAAGAGACAGCTGCTACAAATCAGTATGACTTCTGAGAAACTAGTTTGAAAAGCAATTTGCAGCACAATCATATATGCCTTGGACTTTTTTTTTTACAGTGAAATTTACTCCAAGGTAGGTACACACAAGACTACACCTATAGAAAATTATATTCATAGCTTGCACAAGCTTGATTCAGTGGTACCCTTTCACATTAAAAGAGCACCTTTGTATCCAAACATATGTACTGTATTTATGAAATGAACTATAATACCTATAAAAAATGTCCATTGTATCAAATGACCAGAGTTTGATTGATCCATCTAGTGACCCAGAGATAAATAATGAAGCTGTATTTGGATGCAGTAGAAGCTTTGTGACAGTTTTAGAATGTCCTTGAAATATATGCAACAAGCAGCCTTGATCATTCCAAGATTTTACTGAGTATAAAAAACAAAAACAGGAAAATATAAGCAATTGTTAGACATAATAATCAAATTATAAATATAGGAGTTAATTGATTTATTTTATCAAAGCTTAAATTACTGAAGTAGGGACAGCTTTCTATAGGTTCCCTGGGGGTTTGCCCCTGAACTCTGCTCAGGAGTACCCATGACCACTCTTCTTTGAAATTTCCAGGATGTTTTTCTGTAGCTTCACTAAGGAGAAGACCCTAGACTCCAGCTTTATACTAATCTGTTTATCAATATACGGAAGGGCCAAGAAGTGTGTGTGACTGGCTTCCTTATTTTATCTGATGACTCTCTTTTAATTTTTAGAAGGCTGCTAGAGAGTTAGAGTAGGAATATTCAATATACACTGTGTTAGATCTTGAAAAGTATCAGGGGAAGAAGTTTAACAGAAATTGATCCCTGTCCAAGCAACCCTCCTTACTGTTTCTCTGAAGAATCAGGGAACCTTTTGCATGGGACATACTGTGGTCCACAGAAGCCACTTCCACTTAATTTCACTTGCTGATCTTTCCCTTCTTCCTTAGTCTACTGTACCAAAACTTACTCAAACTACAAGGGTTTACCAAACCACAGGAGGGTTTTCTGGGAGATACCAGTAGAGGACAGTAAGGAGTGTTATCTTCTGCCAGCTCCATTTTGCTGGCACTACTCAGGAGCCTAGCAAGCTGAAATTCTTCTATCTCTTTTCCTGCCCCAATAATTTGAACACTGACTGAAATGTTGGTAAGTTATAAGTCACCAAATCCCCACTGATTTGATGGGCCTACTTTAACACAATTTGCTAAACTAAGCAACAGGATTTTAGCCATTGTGTTCCATGAATGGAAGATCCTTCTGTTCACAGAACAAAACGTCAGCACCTAAACTGTTCTCTACAAACAACTCTCCAGCATTTTCCAATCATTGTGTTAAATTACTAAAATCTACATTTGGAAGACACCTGGCATGAAATTCAGCTTTATTGATGCAAGATCTTTCTTTAAGTCACAAATTTTTCTTTATTGCAAACATATTAAACTCTACTGATGGCTGCTCCAAATCTTAAATTATCTTCCTGAGGTAAATTTCAGGTATTACAGCAAGAGGGTCATACTTTGGCTTATGGGGGCCACATGCAACCCATGGACTACATTTTGCCTACTCCTAACTTAAACAATTTAAATTCCACCAACGTAATGCCACTTGCATTTTAGATAAATAAATAAAATGGGTTATAAAATAAGGGGGTAAGTATAATGATATTACATTATTTGCTGCTTCTTTGGGCCAACTTACTTTCACTGCCTCTAGAGGAAGTAAGTAAAATTTTAACATCAGATGAGTAGATACATGAGAGAATAGCAGTCTGGTGGGCATTTAGTATCTCAAGTAGCAATTTCCCATTGATGTCGTAGCAGAAGAAGTGACCTTCAGAAAAGCAGTAGTATCTTTGCATAATGACATCAAAATCCATATTTGTACACCACTTTTTCCCCATGTATGGATATTCTGTACTGTTTGGTAAAACATTATTAAAATATTTTAGTATGAAAAAACAGTGAAAATTATTTCAGCTTAGTTATAGTGCCACAAAAGCTGAATATACAAAAGATATTGTTGTATGAATTTGCACTGCTAAGCAGAAAAGCAGAATTCTAGGCTTAACTCTGTTGTACACACAATCCCACACCACTACCCACAGTGTTATATAATGTTCCTAACTATACAACCTATAACAATTATTCCATATTATTACTACCTGTTATTACACAATGTTCTATCATTCAATCTGCAAAATCCTGTTGTGTAAAGTTCTGACACTCCCTAGGGTTTCTTTTTGCCTGGGGGAAGCTTTGGGAGCCTCAGGACAGTATGGAGGGAGACTCTGATAGTCCAAAATTGCTGCTGGATTGCTGGCAGCAATCCCAAACCCAGTGGCGGCAATCTGGGAACCAATTTTTACTATTAAAGGCAGTTACTGAGGCATAACATTGCTCAGAAGGAGTTTGCCCACTATATAATTTTTATATAATCACACAATTGTTATTACACATATACTATATAGTAATGAATACACTTATACTACATTGCATTATAATAGTATTATATCACATTGGGACAGTCTGTTTGTATTATTACTTTATGGCTTTAATATTAACTTATGTCTTTACACTTTTTGAGTATGTCTTATCACCTGGACAATATTGACTATAATACTATGACTGTTACAAAATTTTATGACTGCTACATCAGACAATGGCTAAAATCGTCTTGCATAGATATGTCAGCATAAAGTTAACTGTATCACTTTTGGAGGCAAATTACTTCAAGTTAGAAAATCACTGTAGATATTATGTGTTGCATGTTGAGTCATGCAACTCCATGCACTACAAATAATGCCTATGGTAATTTCCTAATTAAACACAATTCACCTCTAAAAGCTATGCTTCTAATTACGCAAGAGGATTTAGTTCTAAGTATTTGTTTTTAATTTCAGAACTATTTTTGCATTTCTAAGAACAAAATAGTTGCTATCATTGTATTTTTCTGCCCTCAAGTTTCAGCAGCTTCAACAAATACAAATACAATACCATGAAGTCACCCCCACCCCTGCAAAACAAAACAGATTTTTCTGTAACAACAAACAAAAAAGTTACTAAAAGACATTCCCACTAGTTTGGGGAGAAACACATTCTAGTTTTTAGCACAGTTGTGTCCTTAAACAATTGCTGTCATGGGAACCAGATCACAAATAGGGCATATGAATCGTTTTTTCCTGTGCTGAAATTGCAAAAATCCCACACATGCAGTTCTTCCTCAATAAAGAACAGACTTTTAAAATACTATCTCAAAAGCAAACATACTTGTGTTAATAACAGAAGGATTACCTGAGAGCAGGGGGAAGTACCATGTATGTTGCTTATTAGTAACGTGTTACTTTTATCATTTGAGATGAGAGGAGTGTTGCCTCTTCTCTTATATAGAAGGTGGTCAGATGCCCTTTCCCCCTATTTTTTCCATTTGTGATACTTCATGTGACACGATCACCTCCAAGAAGTAACATCAGAGAAAGCAGCAGGGTTTTACAGGAGGAAGCAACAAGGACCTGTTTTGCATAGGCAGGAACCTTGCCTAAATGTTTTGGAAAAAAGAAGGGGACAATATCTACCTACTTCATCTATAAAAGAGATAGACTCTTGGATAAAAATATACTGTATCATATTCATGTAGATTCACATCCTGTTATCGAAGTCCAAATAGTATGCCCTTGATCACATTTTGAAAATTTTGTTATGCAAACCTAAGAAGAAAGCAAACAGCTGACCTCCAGGATTTCTGCTTTATTAATCAATGCCATATGTAAAAACACTTTGGGTACAAAATTAGTCTGTGAAAAAGGTCTTGCCATTTGATCAATTATGATACTAGGTGTTCCATAGAAAACTGGACCTCCCAAGCTTCCATCTTTACAAACATGCAGACCATAATCTTAGATTGGTTTAACCCCTCTTGAAATTAGTTACATCAATAAAAAATTAAAAGTAAACATTGGAGAAGATGTATCATGCCTGACTCTTACTTACCACCTACCATGGAGCTACTCACTGATTTCCCCGTTCTGGGTAAAAGTCTTTAAGGAGATTGAAAAGGTCACTGAGCAACCTATTCATCTCTCCCTTTCCCCGGGTCTCTATCTCTCTTTTGGATGATAACAATTATTTAAAGCACAAAAAGAATTGATTCTCTTAATGTGCTTGGCAGCATGTCTAGAAATGCCTCTCAAGTCGAAGATTGGCTAAAATCTGTCATTAAAGACATAGAAAGGATGGCTCTGGATTATAGCACTGATGGAAAAATTAACACAACAAATTAAATGTTCAAGAAATATTCATGCTCATGACTCATTTCTTTCTGTATCATCCTTCTGAATCAATTTTTTAAATGACCATAGTGACATATTTTCCACACTTCTTCTAGACACTTCAGTGAAATGTTAGGCTTCATTAACTTTCCTTATGTTAAACTCTTGTTTTGATACAAATAGCATCTTTTAAAATTTAACTTTTATATATTTCTATATTGAGCAACTTATTATTTGGATATTCATCCTATATTTTTAAACTGGCATGATCTTAAATCATCTTTTTTTACCATCATATATTCATCCTATATTTTTAAACTGGCATGATTTAAATCATCTTTTTTCACCATCATATATTTTACATTGCATCATTGTATTTTATGTTTATTAATATTTTTTTTGAAAAAAGGAGGAGGACACCACCTATCTATTTCATATATAAAATAAGAGGCAACCTTGCTTCCCCTCCCATTGAGTGGCATGTGAAAACCCTCACTCACTATCAGCCATGACTACACAGTGAATGGGAAATGACTCTTAAAAGGGCTTGTCCAAACAGGGGAATTTGGAGCAGTTTGGTTTGTGCTTAAAAGGTTCTTATCTTCAGTGCAATGTATTCTATCTCTCACTTGAGCAATCCTTTTGTTCACACTGGAGATGCTTATTCTCCTATGAGAAGAGTCCACACAGGTTTTTGGACTACTGGTTTACTCATGAGAAATATTTACCTGGTTTACTCACATGTAAGTTTACCCGAGTTACTCATGTGTAAGTTTGGCCAGTTTATTTGCAAGTAAGGAGGCACCAACAACAGCAGCTGAAGACAGCAGTGGTGCAAGAGAAAAACATTGGGATGAAGGTTGGAGAGACGGAAGGCAAGTAAACTCCCCCTTTCTCACATTTTTCCTCAGGTGAGCCTCTACTGGGGCTGTCCTGCCTTGAGGAGGCAGAGCCTATGGAGTCAATATAGCGTCCTTCCCTGTCTTTTCTCACAGCCATCATTCAGTGACTTTCCTTTCTTGTTGTTAAGTAAAGTTAGTGGTATGTCAAAACAGCGATATATCAACCTAGCATGGTATTAGAATTAAGCTGTGTCAGTTAAGTAAATATTTTTTAAAAAGGAAGTGGGGCAGTGAATCCTGTCTTCCTGCTGGAGACTGGTTAAACAGCCGAAGAGGAAGAGGAGGAAGAGTGTGCTCTAACTGGTGAGTGGATCATTGGACAAGGAGGTGGGGGAAATCGCAGCTCCTGTGGTGCCACATGTATGAACTGGCATGAACCTTCGAACTGAGCTTCATGCCCATCTCTGCATATGTGCTTTGGCTGGGAAGCAGAAAGGAACATCATCTCAGTTGCACTGTTTGCTGGGAGTCATCTCATTGCTCTATGGAAGGGTAGTTTCACCACAACACATTAGAGTCTACAGGGGTAGTCTGTCAATAAACTATCCTCCCATGGAGCAGTGAGGAACTCCTAGCAAGCAGTGTGACTGGGGAGGTGGATCCTTCTGCCTGCCAGCATGTGAAGTGAAGCAGATAATGGTAGTAGGAAGACCTCTCTTTTGCCTTCCTTTTTTCTTCTTCTCCCAGTCCCAGAAGTCTGCCTTGGGAATTCTAGATGGCTTCTGGGACTAGCAGTCCTGGAATTATGGACATCCTATCCCAAATTGCTATTATAAATTCAAAATAATAGGCCCAACTTTGTTATAATTATAACCCCTTATATTCTTGCACATGTTTTTAAAAGTGACAAATTATATTAAAAGGATATCAAGATAATAATGTGTACACATATATGTTCCGATTGGACAATTAATTCTAGTACCTGGGGAAAAGGCTGTAATTGTACATTGGAACAGGATTAGCATGAGTTGGAATCTTCTTTTCTTTAAACTTCCAAGTCTAAAAGAAAAAGGATTATATGCAAAGTTGTAAAATGTGTATGTTTTTATAAGTTAGCAATCCAGAAGTTCAAACCTACAGTCCTATGCACAATAACCTGGGACACATTTGGATTTCCTTCCAAGTAACAAAGAACTGAACTATAAGTATGAAAATCCTTTTAAATTTCAAAATATTTATAAATTTTTAATTGCTGCTACACTAGAAGTTGTCAATGAATTAAAAAGACAAAACAAATCATTGTGTTCGTATTATGTTTCTTATTTAACAATTCAAAATAATAGGCTCTACATGAAACCACGGGGAGACACTGTCTGGTGTTTTGGGGTTCAGTGTTACCAGTGTGCCAATGACACCCAACTCTACCTCTCCTTGCCACCTAAATCCGAGGAAGCTGTTTCGGCTCTAAACCGGTGGCCATCAGTAATATTGGATGAAGGTGAATAAATTGAAACTTAATCCAGACAAGACAGAGCTGCTTGTGGTTAAGTGTGGCATGTGGTGGCTCTGTGGGCTAAACCGCAGAAGCCTGTGCTGCAGGGTCAGAAGACCAGCAGTCGTAAGATCAAATCCACGCGACGGAGTGAGCTCCCGTCGCTTGTCCCAGCTCCTCACCAACCTAGCAGTTTGAAAGCATGCAAATGCGAGTAGATAAATAGATACCACCTCGGTGGGAAGGTAAAACAGCGTTCCCTAGTCATGTTGGCCACATGGCAACGGAAACTGTCTTCGGACAAGTGCTGGCTCTGTGGCTTGAAAAATGGGATAAGCACTGCCACCTAGAGTTGGACACGACTGGACTAAAAATGTCAAGGGGGAAGCCTTAAGTGAAAGGCAGATCAAGGAATAGGGATGTACTGGGTGGGGTTACACTCCCCAATGAAAACAGGTTGATAGCTTGGGGGTACTCCTGGATTCATCTCTGAACCTGGATGGCCAGATCTTGTCAGTGGCTAGGAGTGCATTTGCACAATTAAAATTAATACTCCAGTTATGTCTGTTTCTAGAGAGATCTTATCTGGCCACTGTCACACACACCCTAGTTACTTCCCAATTGGATTACTGTAACTCGCTTTATGTGGGGCTGCCAATGGAAAGTGTCAGGAAGTTTCAGTGGGTCCAAAATGCAGCAGCCAGATTGCTGATCGGGGCTGGTTAAAGGGATCACAATAACCCCCCCTGCTATAGTAGCTCTACTGGCTGCCAATCAGTTTCTGGGCACAATGCAAAGTGCTGGTTTTAACCTATACGACCTTAAATGACCTGGATCCAAGCTATCTCAAAGACTGTGTCTCCTGCTATGAGCTGGCTCAGGTGAAGCCTTTCTCTCAGTCCCACTACTTTCACAGATGTGTCTAATGGGGACACAGGACAGAGCCTTCTCTATTGTCACTCCCAGACTTTGGAACTCCTTCCCACGGGAGGCCAGACTGGCCCCTTCTTTCCTGTCCTTATGAAAGCTGGCAAAGATCTTTCTCTTTAGGCAGGCTTTCTCTTAGTGACTGCCTACATGAGTGACTGTCCACATGGCTGGCTACATGAGTAACCTTTGGATGGATTGTTATGTATTAATGCTCTGACTGGGTCTTTAGTACTACTTGTATTTACCATCTCTCAGAGTGGTATTTGTTTGCTCCTTTTTAGTACAGTATTTACATACTTATTGTTTTAACTTTAATATTGTCTTTTAATGTTGTAAGCTGTCTCTTTATGCTCACTGTTCTTAGCTTTAAATATTGTCTTTTAATGATGTAAACCACTGTTATATACTCATTGTTTTTAGCTTTAAATATTGTCTTTCAAGGATATAAGTCCTTTTTAAAGATTGATTGATTGATCTTTATTCCACTTACCAGCAGATGTATTCAAATATTAGTATAACACGAAAATGCAACTAAAAAAATATAGAACCTATTGCAATGTGACTAAATTTCTTAGAATCTCCATAGTTTCACAGGACTGAGGAGATCAGTAAATCAATTCAGTAAACTTTGTACCATCTCCAGTTTCATCATCCTAAGCAGTGTGACACATAAATTATAAGATGGCCAATACACACTATTACTAAACATCTGGGATTGCTTTAATTGGTGCAAGGAGGGAACAATGACACTTCATTACTGCCACACAAAACTTCACCACTGCTTTAGTTATACAGTATCAGATTTCTTGTCCGAAAGTAAGAGCACAACATAAAATTCTCCCTTGAAACTGTTGCAATACAGGCTGGAGGAGAGCCCTCCAAATACAGTGGATACAAAAAGCTTACACACCCCTGTTAAAATGTCAAGTGTCTGTTATGTAAAGAAATGAGACAAAGATAAATCATTTCAGAACTTTTTCCAACTTTAATGAGACCTATTAAGTGTACAACTCAGCTGAGCAACAAACTGAAATCTTTTAGGTGGAGGGAAGTAAAAATAAAAAACGGAAATAATATGGTTGCATCTCTGTGCACACCCTCTTGTACCATCTTTGTCTAATTTATCTTTGTCTCATTTCTTTACATCACAGACACTTGACATTTTAACAGGAGTGTGTAAGCTTTTTGTATCCACTGTATTTGGAGGGCTCTCCTCCAGCCTGTATTGCAACTGGGGATGTAGCCGTGTTCAGCAGTAAACAATAACATTCAAAGTCATGTTAAGTAGGAGTCAGTACACCCCTGCCATTATTTAAAGTGCCTCTGAGGAATCCCAAATAAAGATCATCTGTGCTAGTAGGTCTTTCTTGACATTTTCTTAGTCACATCCAGCCATTTTCTTAGTCACATCCAGCCATGGTCCACAGAGGGCTTCCAAAGCATCAAAGGGATCTTATTGTTAAAAGGATCAGCCAGGAGAAGGGTACAAAATAATTTCCAAGGCATTAGATACACCATGGAACACAGTGAAGACAGCCATCATCAAGTGGAGAAAATATGGCACAACAGTGACATTACCAAGAACTGGACGTCCCTGCAAAATTGATGAAAAGACTAGAAGAAAACTGGTCAGGGAGGCTGCCAAGTGGCCTATAGCAACATTAAAGGAATTGCAGGAATAACGGCAAGTACTGGCTCTGTGGTACATGTGACAACAACCCCCGTGTTCTTCATATGTCTGGGCTGTGGGGTAGAGTGGCAAGATGGAAGCCTTTTCGTATGAAGAAAAACATTCAAGCCTGGCTAAATTTTGCAAAAACACATCTAAAGTCTCCCAAAAGTATGTGGGAAAAGTGTTATGGTCTGATGAAACCAAGGTTCAACTTTTCGCCCCTAATTCCAAAAGATATGTGTGGTGTAAAAACAACACTGCACATCACCAGAAGAACACTATACCCACAGTGAAGAGTGGTGGTGGCAGCAGCATGCTTTGGGGCTGGGACCTTAGTCAAGCTCGAGGGAATTATGAACAGTTCCAAATACCAGTTACAGCAAAAGTATATGGAAGAAAGGATAGCACCCAGATTCCTCAGCCCATAATTTCACATATCTAGACTTTCCCGACAAGTCCCTAGACCTAATAATATTATCCATCTCTTCAAAATTATAAACAAAATTTATATACAGGAAAGAAAACCTGAGCAACTAGAAACTCGCATGTACCTTTACTCCATTGATTCCTCCACTGATAAGTTCATCTCTCATGGGGTTGAATGATATAAATGTTAACCGTCCTGAACCTGCATTTTCTACCGAACAAATCTCAGTATAGTCTTTGTTATGAACCTCAACAAAACAAACACTGATATTAACAAAATGCATTAAACATCTTTGGGGAAATAAAACCATCAATAGCTAGAGGATTTTGACCATGTATTTAAGTATGTTGTGCTGTCTAAGAAAGGATCAAAGATACAACTTCCAAAAGCAAGATTGCATCCTCAAATAATGTAGAGCTGATATATCTAAATTTCTGATCCTCACTGAGATACTGCCATCAAAATCTGATGTTGCACTAGTGGATTGCATAGTTACTTTTATTCCAACCACATTATAATGCCATTTGCCTCTATAAATATGTGATTCCACTACTGGACATTTCTGACTCAAATATGAAGCCTTCTTCTGTCTAAAGTCAAAATTAACATTTTAGCAAAGGCCACATTTTTCTTTTACTGTTCTGACAAAATTCTGTAAAGATAAAGATGTTCCATATTTCAAATGCTGATGTTTCAGTTTAGTTCAAAGATGTGCAGCCTGTGGGCCACATGCAATCCCAAGAATCCACAGACTGCCTCTGAGAACCCCTGGAGCTCTAAAGCGCCCAGCTCTTCCACATTGCCCATTAACAATCATCTGCCCTCTGAGAGAGTTAAAGGGAAATTTTGGCATGTTTTGAGTGGTATCACTCAACACATGTTTGTGCGCATATGTGTGTGTACAAGCCACCACAGGGTGCAAGAGGATCTTTTTAATAATGCATGTATATATTTTATTTCATCTCTGTGCTGCTGTTCTCCCATAAAAGGACTCAAGTTGGCTCACAACAATTAAAATGCAAGCTAAATACAATATAGAATTAAAACCAACGAAACAAAGAAAAAATTGGAGGGGGTCCCAGGACCAGTCCTCAGAGATCCTGGATTGTGCAGTCCTTTAGCCCACTGGTTCTTAACCTTGGGTTACGCAGGAGTTTTGGACTGCAACTCCCAGAAGCCTTCACCACCAACTGAGCTGGCTGGGGTTTCTGGGAGTTGCAGTTCAAAAACATCCAAGTAACAAAGGTTAAGAACCACTGCTTTAGCCTCTGTAAATCGCCCTCCCTGTGTTATGTTTGCTATATGCCATCAAGTTAGAACTGACTTCTAGCAATCCTAATAGGGCTTTTAAGATAAATGAGATATTTCAGGAGTAGTTTCACTAGATCCACAACCCTGGTAAGTTTCCATGCCCAAACATGAACCCAGATCTCCTGTGTCCATGTCTATCACTCTCTCCTCTATGCCATGCTGGGTTTAATTACACACCTGTAAATATAACATATAGTCAGTCTCACAGCCCTATGTTGCTCAGATCTGCTTGCATTCAAATATCCTAGAAGGTCTAAAATTTACTTTTTTTCTACCAGTAGAAATTGCAGATTGGCTCTTTTCTCAGGGGAAAAGCATAGCAATGACAGCATTACATAACTTTACCTTTATAACATAATCTTTTTGTAGCACAAAATACACATTGAATTTTTCGGCATAAATGATGATTCTTGCCATGCTGAACTGATACTTTTCAAAAGTTAGCTCTCTTCTAACTAAAATGACAAGCACAAAGAAGAACTTGGTCATGTAATCCAATTTTGCAACCAAAACCACAAAACCTGCTAGTCTGAACTATTTTTACTTAACCAGCACTTTTCTGCTGGCTGTGGAAGAATGAAAACTTTCCATACCATTGCTAACACAGAAATGCAGTCCACAGACCTCTAATCAGGTTAGTCATGGGGAAAAACATTCTACCAAAGAGACTGGCAAAGAAAAGGAAATAGTGATTAGTTCATCTTCCATCATCCTGCTCATGCAAAGGAATTCCTGAATGCCTATAGATAGTAGAGAAGTTGTCCAATACAATTACAATTTCATATAATCATAGAATGGAGTTGGAAGGGGTCTATAAGACCATCAAATCCAAACCCCTGCTTAATGCAGGAATTCAAATTAAATTATATCTGACAGATGACTGTTTTTTTTCTTGAATGCCTCCAGTATTGGAGTGCTCACCACCTCCTGAGAAAATTGGTTCCATTCTTGTAATACTCTTAACAGTCATGACACTTTTCCTGATATTCAACTGAAATCTGGTTTCCTGAAATTTGAGCCTATCATTGCATGTCCTGCATTCTGAGATGATGAACAACAGATCCTGCTCCTCCTCTGTATGAGAATTTGCAATGTGGTCTCAGTCTTCTTTTCTCAAGGCTAAACATGCCCAATTCTTACAGTCTTTCCTCACAGGGCTTAGTCTCCTGATCATCCTTGTTGCACACCTCTGAACTTGTTCCAGCTTGTCAGCATCCTTCTTAAAGTGCGATGTCTAGAACTGAGGCCTAACCAGTGCTGAATAGAGGGGAACTAATATTTCAGAGGATTTGGAAAGTAAACTTCTATTAGTGCAGTCTAAAATAGCATTCACCTTTTTTTGCAGCCACTTTGCTCTGTTGGCTGAAGTTAAACTTGTGATCTATGACAATTCCAAGATCCTTCTCACTTTAGAATTACTGAGCCAAGTATCTCCCATCTTGTAGCTGTGTGTTTGGTTCCCCCAACCCCACCACTATGTATAGAACTGTGGGCTTATCTTTATTAAAATCCATTTTGTTGTTTTCAGTCCAATTCTCGAGCCTATCAATATCTTTTTTTTCTTTCTGTCTTCCAGGTTATTAGCTGCTCCATCCAATTTTGTACCATCCACAAATCCAATATTCATTCCCAGCATCCTCTCATCCAAGTCATTAATTAAAATGCTGAAGAGCACTGAACCCAGAACTAAGCCTTCCAGTACTCCACTTGTTACCTCCTTCGCATTTGAGAAGGAGCCATTGATAAACACACACTGATTACAACTGTATAAACAATTGTGGATCCACATGATAGTTGTTCTATCCAGCCCACATCTAGTTAGCTTGCTAATCAGAATATCATGGGGGAAATTGTCAAAAGCTTTGCTGAAGTTAAGATACTGTATATTATGTCTACAGACTTCCCACCATCTACCAGGGAAATTGCCCAATCAAAAAACAAGATAAGATTAGTCTGGCAGGATTTGTTCTAGACAAATTTGGGTTGGTTTCTAGTTATTACTGCATTGCTTTCAAGGTGCTTGCAGAGTAATAGTTTTCTAATCTGCTCCAGAATTTTCCTTGGGACTGATGTCAGGCTGACTGGTTCATAGTTTCCAGGTTCCTTCTTTCTTCCCTTTTTTGAAGATAGGTACAATATTAGACCTCCTCTAATCATTTGGCACTTCACCCATTCTCCATTATTTCAATAAGATAATAGACAGTGGTTATGAGAATTCTTCAGTCACTTCCTCTGATACTCTTGGTTGCAGTTTAGGGATTCATTTAATCTACCCCCTCTTCATGAGCATACTCACATCAAATTGATAGTAATTAATATCATATAAATGATAATTTATAAATCAATAAGGACTGAAATCTATGACCTCTGTCCTAATTTCATGGAGCACTATCCTTAATTTTTAAAACCTGCTGGAAGCAAGCAATTTACGAGCAATCTGACCTTTGTAAGCAGAATGATGGACAGGAACAAAGATGGAGAGAACAAGGCAGCTGAGATAGAAATTATAGCAAAAGGGGTTAAAGGGAAAAGTGTCTTGTCCACATTACAGTCTGGTCTTGCCCATTGCTAGCTTTGATGCCACCACCAATGTGCAGTCCTTGAAAAATTATCTCCAAAGGAATGCTATGGTTGACAGAAAAAGCTAAACAACTCAGCACAGGATTAGGATTGTATAAACAAGATTTCAGGAGAGTCTAAAACAAAGATGTCAAACACAAATGCTTTAAAAATTATACATCTCTCTTTTTAGGAGATTATCAGTTGATAGATACTGTACTGTGTTTCCCTGAAAATAACAAAGGGTCTTATATTAATTTTTGCTCCAAAAACGCATTAGGGCTTATTTTCAGGGAATGTTTTATTATTATTTTTTCATGCACAACAATCTACATTTATTCAAATACAGTCATGTCATCTTCTTCTGGTTGCTGCACAATGGTGGAGGGCGGGGTTTCACTTGGGTTTATTTTTGGGGTAGGGCTTATATTACGAGCATCTTGAAAAAAATCATACTAGGGCTTATTTTCAGGTTAGGTCTTGTTTTGGGAAAACAGGGTATGTATTAACAAAATGAGGGTGGTCAAATTTGAATATATTTGTCTAGCTCATTTTTGATAGAAAATATTGGTCAAAACACTGGAGTAAATCAGATATCATAAATTGCAGTAGCAATTTACCATTGTGGTTGACACAGTTTGATTTCATGTCAGCATACTGTATGTAAATAATAGAATCTAGCCATCAGTGCTTAATATGATGGCCAGAATCCAGCTGGGTTCTTACAGTATAACTCTAGAATTGTATAACTGTCTGTCTGTTGTACACTCAGACATAATCAAATAAGGCACTCAGTTGTTGCCCAGATGTGCAACAGACAGCCTGAAAACTGCAAAACTACTTACACAATAAGTATTTTACAATAGAATTCTGGTCAATGCTTTTCAGGAACTTTGAAAACAGGTGGAAATTTCACTATTAACCAGCTGAAAACAATTTAGGATACCTTTACAAAAGCAGGTTATAGACAATGAAAAAATAAGGAAAGAGAAAACCGTACTATGAACAGAAAAATAATACAGCTAATCAGCGTCTTACTAGAGAACTGAAGAATTTAAATTTTGTTGGAGTGTAAAATTTAGGATGGATACAGTACAACCTTCTCTTTTTTAAATTTTCCACAAAAGGTATAAATTTAAACAATTGCAATGTGTGAAATAAAACGAAGTGATACCCTATAGCCACCTCACCATTACAATTAGAAGAACGCAAATCCAAGCTGAAAAATCCTTTGCCATCTGCCAAAACCAGTCTTTTACTCCAGCTGTTATAGGTTGCTAAAAGACATTGTGAAGAAAAATTATTTTTGGCCATGAATCTAGGTAGAATAAAATAAAACCTAGATTGTGTACTTGTGCGCCTACAAAGTACTCTGAGATACAAAAGGAAATCAAACAGAAATTATATATACTAGACCCTTGAGTGGAGTTCTATTATGGTCACACTTCTTACAAGAAAAGAAGAGACACAATTTTCAACTACATCCCCTTCTCTGTGCAGCCGCCAACATCACTTCCATGCTTTCTTATGTATTCCCCACACCCAGAGTAGATGGGGGATGGGGATAAATTAAAACTGACTTTGCAAGAGACAAAGTACTCAGATCATTGGGAATTAAGTTGTTGTTTGCATAATTATATAGTAAATTGCCCAGAGAGTGCTCTAGCACTTTGGGGTGGATTAGATGTCAAAACAACAATAACAACAACAAAATACTGATCAAAGCAATGCTTTTCCTACAGGTATTTCATTCTTAATCGTGCAGAATTTACTTCCTCTTACCTCCAACTATATCTGAACCCTTCTGAGAGAAGCTTTTAATGAGGATAAAGCCAAATGCTAGAAAGTTGGTGCTTTTTGCTGTAATTCTGCAATAAGAAAGATAATTTCACAATTCAGGAAAAATTAATAATAGTTTTTTTAAAAAAATAAAAAAATTGAAATAAGATATTTTATGGAAATACTTATCATGACTCCCATACATCTAAGGATCAAACTGGATTAGAGGAATATAGTCTTGGATAAGCCCATTTTTCTCACTACAGTTTCCCCAAGGATATGTGCTCCAGCAATTAGATTTCTACATTGTTTTGTCCACATTCCAAAGACCAATTGGGAAATAGATTGTGTAGAAAAGAGAGATATGAAGGTGATAGAAAGCATGAACTATGATGGATAGGTGTCTTTTATCTAGTAAGAGGACATCAGTTCTAAATATAAGTTAAACATTAATGTTTAGTTTCACCCTGAAATGCTCTTGTATTGTTTTCTCAATACATATCTAACCAGTGACTCAAGGTCTGAAAAAGCAGACTTGCCCACGAGAGCTTACATTAAAATATAGCACTTAGTCTTTAAGATGCCATACCATTTTTGTCTTTTTTAGTTTTATTTATTTTTATTTTGTTTTTCTAGGAATTATTTCAACCTTGTATGCTTTCTCTATTAGGTTTGACTGGGAGGGACCTTTCTGGGCTGGGGTGACTGTCAATCAATTTTGCAGTAACCAATTGTTCCTTCCCTATCTCTGATTTCAAAGAGAACCACATCCCTCTGTTTATGAATCTTTTCTCCTCCCTTTTAGCCTGCTGGCATTTAGCAGTTTGTGCAGTTAAAGTGTAGTCTGCAGGAGTCTGCTAGAAGCAGGCTCTTAGTCTGTTCAGGCCTGTTGCTTTAAGCAATAATTTTTCTTCAATATGTTGTTTGACCTAGTCAACTGTGAGTCAATGAAATCTTTTATTCTTTCTTTTACCAACATTTCAGAGTAAGTTACTGAGACTGTAGAATGCCAGCTGATGAGAGCAATAAGGGGTGGTTTACTCTGGGGAGATTTGAAGCTAATTTTGCTCTGCAAGTCCTTGCTCTTCTGCTGCATAGCTAGAGGATTTTAGCCAAAATACAAAACTCTTCAACAGTTTTTGTCTGTGACTCAAGAACATTTATTTGAAAAGGTTTAAGAAATAAAACAAAACAGACTCTAAATGATCAAATAAGTAACAAAAGATACAATTCTTTTTAAACATTGGGGGAAACGATTATTTTTTCTCTCTCAAAACAAGCACACACGCACATGCACGCACACGCACACACACACACGTGGCACAGTGGTTATTTATTTACTTATTTTATTTTATTTATACCCCACTTATCTGGTCATTGCGACCACTCTAGGCAGCTTCCAGACAATAAAACTGTGCTCACAACCTGGGGTTCAATCCCAGGTAGCCGGCTCAAGGTTGACTCAGCCTTCTACCCTTCCAAGGTTGGTAAAATAAGCACTCAGCCTGCTGGGGGAGGGGGGGATGTGTAGCCTGCATAATTAACTTGTAAACTGCCCAGAGAGTGATTGAAGCACTATGGGGCGGTATATAAGCAGCACACTTTACTTTGCTTTGCTATATTTAGCATACAAAATGTGGGACTAAAGAGGCATACGTAGGCGTTCATATACTTGGGAAATTAGAACCTTTCCAGACAGACCTCTGTAAGTAATACATATGCATACTCACATTTGTTCTGAACTTTTTGATGTTACGTCCTCTTCAGATTTTGTGACATTTATTTCATCTTCAAATGTTAATCTTCGAAAAGAAAGAAAGAAAGAAAGAAAGAATTAGATAAGAAATAGATATTAGCAATTATTTTGTATCAGTTCAAAACCATTTCTAGAATGATAGCCCAACAGCAACTGTCACCTTGATAATATGCCAAATTTATCAGAAACATTCAGAATACTGAGGGGAGTTTATGTTAACAGGCCTGTCTCACTGGATAGGTTCAGTGCAGCAAGAGGGCCTGTACCAAAGAGAGCTCTGTTCAGGATTCTAGACATTTTATTCCATCCCTACACCACTTCAGTTTTTGTCACTAAATTGTCAGCCAACATTCCTTGGACGTAGAGCTTGCTGCATCCTCAGAGGTGCTTGGGGCTGTTTTCATTTTTGGCCATCTAGATTTCTGGAAAGAGTGGGTCTTGGTGCACAACCCAAATTATAATCAAATTTTAGAGCCGTATGGGCAGATCTTACTTATAAACCCTTAAAAACAGCTTCCTTGTATGAATCAAGAACTAACCTACCCAATGAGATGGTTCTCTCTACCCTATGCATATCTGCATTGCTCTTTCTGTACCCTCCTTTTCCAGCTACTCTGTTCCATTCTACTTCTCAAGAATTTCATTGTTTTTCCCTTTGAGCAGTCTATATTCCATAGGCATTGAGCATGCTCAGTTGATTGTCTTCCTGCCTTAGTGTTTTTCCCCTAAAAATTGTTTTATTTTTAGCATTTAAGTAAACATGGGTTAGCCCAAGTTTAATAATATCGCTTTCCTATGTGTAACTGCTGCTATTAATGATATTCAATATCATTAATGGACTGGATGAAGATGTACAAATTGAAGCTTAATCTGGGTAAAACAGAAGTTATTTCTTGTCAGTCAAAAGGCAGATCAGGGAATAGGAGTCAACCTGTGCTTCGCTGGGTTACACTCCTCTGGAAAACTCAAGCTAAAGTTTTCAAGAGGAGTGCCAGTTTATACTGGCAGCTAAATCCAGTATTCACTCCCAAGACCAGACACCTAGTTTTCAGCAGCAGAGTGTTACAGAATTAAATCAGATGCATCCTTTATTTGAGATGACTAGCCTGACTAGGATAACATATGTCTTAGTTGTGTGCCAGCTGGACTGTTGTAATATGTCACATGTGTGTCCAACTTATAAAAGTGTTCAGAAACTTGAGCTAATTGAAAGCACTACAGCCAGATTGCCAATAAAGGTTGGTTACAGGAATCATATAATACACGTATTAGAAAAGCTCAATTGACTGCCAAACTGTTTCCAGACTCTATTTAAAGTTCCAGTTATAATCTAGTTATAATCTATAAAGATCTGTAAGGTCAGGGCCCAGTTGTTGGAAGGGCTGCATCTCTTCAGGAACTTCGTTCAAACAGGCACATTGTGAAGACTCTAGAGAGGACATTCTCTGTGGCTGCTTGTAGGCTCTGGAATGATCTACCACGGTAGACGAGGTTCCCCTCCTCCCTACTGTCCTTTCACCAAAAATTAAAACTCTTTCTCTTCATACAAGCTTTCAGCAACTGAACAGGCTGCAATTAAAGTACTTTCATTGTGAAATGCTGCATTAGTCCTTTAAAAAAAAAACAACTTTTCACTGTGTCTTTTAGTTTTTAATGCTTTAAAAATAGTTAAAATATTTTAAGCATTGTATTAAGTAAAAAATTGTTTTTATGTGCATATTCATTGTATGTTTTTTAATGTTGTTAGCCGCCTAGAGTGGTCCTGATACGACCAGATAGGCGGGATATCTATATCTATATCTATATCTATATCTATCTATCTATCTATCTATCTATCTATCTATCTTTCTATCTATCTATCTATCTATCTATCTATCTATCTATCTATCAAATGGTTTTTGGTATTATACATTTAACTGTATTTTTAATACTATATATAATTCAGTGTTTCCTAAATTCTTGGAAAAAATTTTAAAATAATTTTTCATATTTCAATGAATCCCTTACCTATCAAAACACACAGTATGGAATCTAGGTATAGAAAAGATAAAAAGGAGGGCTTTTATCCAGAACAAATGATATTTTATAAACTTCTGCTGGGCTCAAATGATAAAGTAATTAAGAAAATGTATGATTATTTGCTAGACGTTAAAATGCAATTAAAATGGTCAAAGAATGTATGATTAGGTGGGCACAAAATATAGGACATAATATTGATATTGATCAATGTTTGCAAATACGGAAAAATAACACAAAGATCACAAAAACATATTTTTTTGTAGTGTTGTCCAGTTTTACCTTGGGGAAGAGCACCACATTTCGTTGCACCCACTTGTGAGCGCAATGACAAATAAATTTCTTATGTCTTATGTCTTATGTCTTATGTCTTTAAAAAATCGGTAAATTTCAAGGAGAACATATACAAGATGTTTGATAGGTGGCATATGACTGGAAAAATTGTCAAAGATTTATACAGAGGTGTCAAATGTTTGTTGGAAGAGGGAAGCTTTTACCATATGTGGTGGACTTGTAGAGTAGCGAAACAGTATTAAATAGCAGTACATATTCTGTTACAAAAAATACTGCTTTGTAATGTTCCACTAACCCCAGAACTGTTTTTACTGAGCAGTATTCCAGACAATATAGATAAGACAAAGAATTACCTAATTACATATATAGTCACTGCAGCCAGAATACTTTATGCTAAGAACTGGAAAAAATTGGAGGTACCAAAATAAGAGGAACCCATTATAAAGATACGGAAAGTGGCAGAAATGGATATTTTATCAGAAGTGTTGAAAGACTGTCCAATACAAAAGGCAACTGAATGATGGGATTTATTATATAAATGGCTTGAGTCATCAGATAGTGCTTGAATAACATAGATTTAAACTAAGATGTAGCTTATTTGAAACTTAATTGAAAGCCTCCCGGTTTCAACTTAATTGAAACCTGGAGGATGATCAAATTGTAGAAAGGCGGAAAGTTGACTTGATATCACAACATGAACAGATTGGATGATAGTATATTTTGTGTTCTTCTCCTCCCCTTCCCCCCTCCCATATTCCCCTCTATCTTCTGTATTCCTTACCTTATCCCTAGTTCTTTTTTTAAAAAAAACATACAGTATATATAGGCCAGGAAAATTTGATAGCAGGGAGTGAAGTTATTGCTTAATTATTGTCAAAATGATTTGGAAATATTCTGTTTAAATCAGCTTCTATAGAATCAAACAATCCTTCTGCACATATTTCAGTTGTGCAAGACTTAAAAGATACAAATGGTGTATACAAGTGGATTTGTATGCAGCAGTGCTTAAGGTTGGTTTATCTGTGATGTTTTAGACTGTTTTATTGATACGGTAAGCCAGCATGGGAAATTTTTAAAGCAGCAACTTCTTAATTTTTGGAAAAGAATACTGGAAGCAGTAATATAAAAATTAAACAGCAAGGAAGAAAATATGAAATGATGCATGCCTGCTAGTTTGGTGTACCAGAAAGAAGCTGTCCCTAATCCTTAAGTGTGAGAGACCTGAAACTACTTCTCCATGTGATAGCACTTGCCTACCAACTATTTTAAAAATCTCCATTCTTAATAATGTCTCTTTTCCCCACATTTCCCCCTCTCACCTTTGTTCCAATCCCATCCTACACAGCTGGAGGCATAAGTAAGTAAACAACATAAACAACTACCCTATGGAGACCTAATCATTATCTTTCCGCCAACCCCCACCATTTAATACTAGATGCTATCCCTCCTGTCCCCTCTCCAGTACTGAAATCCATCAGTCACTCTATCCCCCCCCATTTCCATTCACAACAACCAAAAACAGCAGGAGTTTAGGAAAAGAGGTGAAGGGGCAAATTTCTTCAAAAGATATCCAGACCTGGATCTCATAGATCTTTCCCTCCTTTCTCTCGGAATTCACCTTTCCAGGTTCACCTACAATCTCTGTTCATCTACAGTCAGTTCTACTCCAGAAATCTTACAGTAGGAATGGGGACTTCTCACTTGCTCATTTTCTATTGCCTCCTCCCTCTCTGTCCCTGACAATTAATTTGGATATGCAGCAGCAGTTTGCTGTGAACGCCTTAAAACCCAACTATCCTATTTTGTAACCTTTTTAGGATTCTTGAATCTGGAGAAAAATGGGATATAAACTCAAGAAAGGAGTCCACAACATCTGGATTAGATAATGATATAGACAAAAAATTACCAACTGTTATATAGAAAGCATACACCCTCTTTGAAAGGTTATAAAAACCTAATACTACAGATCAGTTGTATAGTTCCTGAGACAAGGGTGGTGTACCTTTGGGCACTTCAGATGTTTGGATTACAGCTCCCCAAATTCCCAGCCTGTACTGCTGATGATAAAGCATCATGGGATTTTGTAGTCTAAAACATCTGGAATGCTAAAGGTTCACCAGCCAGGTATCTATAAAGCAGTATTCTCTTAAGTAAAAAGGTTTTCAAGAAAAAGACTTACAATGCATCTCAATACAAGCCTAGAAGTAAGTCCCATTTAGGTTCATGGAACACTCCCATGTAAATGTGAATAGGTATACAGCCTGCCTTTATTTACAGAGACCAATATTCAACTGCATAATTCTGGTCATGAAACAATTTTATTAGCTAACCTGGGAGGAGGCATTTCCCTTTTTTTTGTCATCTCCATACTTCCAGAGAGTTCAGAAACCTTTGAAAGATCTCCAGAGGAAATACACAGATTTTGTGGGGAGATGGGGGAAAAGAAACGGATAAAATCTTACTGAAATGTTTTAGGGCTGTGCAGGGAAAGGAAACTGCCCCCTTCCAGTTCTTTTGTTGAAACAGCTTCTGCCAGCGCAAGATACTTTCCAGGACTTATTAGGAGGCAGTTTTTAAAATGTTTGTATTGCTGTGCTCTAATAAAATAATGCATTCAGCAGTCATGTCTCAACTATATGAGGTATATTCATACTAGGCCAATCTTTAAATGTTGGTATCTAAAGCTGTTTTAGAGGTCAATTCTTGGATATATAAAATAATGAGAAAGAATTGGCTTAGAAAGAGTGCTGAAAGGAAACTTTAACGCATCTACAAAAAGTAGAAAAAGCTTTCAGGTTAGAAAGCACAGCTTCAATTTAGATTTGCACAGCAATCCCCTTGTTTAGAAATGTGACATCAACTTAAAAATGTGTATCCATAATATATTCAATGTGAAATTCCAATAAACCCAAAACAAGGAAAAAGAAAGTAAACCTATTTTAATTTAACAATTTAACGCTTACCTTTTCTTCTTACTCCTGGTACCTCTTTTTTTGGGCTTTTTAATAGCACTAATAATTACTTGGCCTACTTCCATTCCCAAAGCTGTTGACTAATAAGTGCAGAATTGATCTGAATATAAGTAGATTTTGCTCTTGTGTAGGAGAATCCTCTGTACTACAAATCAATAAAGCATTTATCTGAAATAAAAAACTAAACATATTAATTTTCATAATACAATGAAAAGATCTGTTTGTAAAAGGAAAAGCCTAAATTAATTTGTATATTTGTGTTAATTTTTCTACCTATCATTTTAAATGTCAAAAAAGAATTTATGCAAATTCATAACACTTTGAAATAATGCAACTTATTTTTTGTCTGTTAAGATCAAATTGGATAACTTAATACCTCCTGCACAGAGGTTCTTAGGTGAAGCCAATGATATCACATCTGAAACTAGATATCACATCTGAAACTAGACATTTAGCACTTAATAGTTATACATACTTCTTTTGATTATATTATCGCACTGATAAATAAAGAGAAGCCAAATCAAGCAAAAGCTTAGAAAGGAAGCCTTGTTAAAATTTTCTTTTCCATTTGTCATAAAAGAAGTGGGCATATTGCCCAGTTTCTTGCCCCAAAAACTCAATAGCAAAGAGATATTTGGGGATAATCAAGAGAGTGACACTGAAAATTTCTGCAAAATCTCCAAATCCCTGTTCAACACCTATTCAATTTGGTGGCCAGAGTCACTAAACGACATATAAGATCTAAGAATGGGACAGAACAGAGCAATGTTTCTGTGAAAGAAACAGGAATAGATAATACTAAAAATTGGTTGTGAAGGGTAATAGATGATTGACTTCAGATGCACTGCATCAAAGCTAAAACAGTCTCTTTACAGCCTGTGCAATGCACAATGCGGGTGGTGGAATGAGAGTACATAAGGTGGCTCAAACAAGACAAGGAGGGGGGGGAATGGAGCAAAACGGATGCTGCAGGCACGCTGATTCTTGGAGGAAAAAGGTGAAAATGCCACCAGTGCACAGACAACTTGTACTCTCTGAAGTTTAAAATGCTTCCTGCTTTACCTATTTGGCTTGTCAAGCTACCTACAGATCTCTGCTATAGAATTTCGCCCGTTAGTCACCCCCTTGCTTGGTCACCTGTTTGCCCGCTCCTTTCCCCTTTTTGTCCACCGATTTACATTTGTTTATTCGTTTGTTGCGTTGATATCCCACCCTTCCTCAGCCCGTCGGGATTTATGCGGGTCTAGAGTGACTATTCCAGCAGGTCTGTGAGAACAGGAACTGCCTCGCGCGTATGTACCCACGACCTGTCAAAGTGAAGGAGGGAGACGGAGAAGCTGCTGTGGAGCAGCCTCTGTGAGAGAAAGGGAGCGACAGGGATGAAGGAGACCGAGCCTTTCGCCGTCACGGAGACGGTTCCCGAGAGCGGAGAGGAAGAAAGCTGTCAAGAATGTCGGGGAACGAGGGTGAGGGGGAACCTGCCTGCTTCCTCCCGGCGGGGGAAGGGCAGGAAGGCAGGCATTGGCAGGGCTGAAGAGAGAAGGCGAGCCTCGCCAGAGCAACCGCCCACCGCGTGAGGCTGGGAAGCTTCCGTTAACTAACGCTCGACTCGCGTTCCGTTCAGAAGTTCCGTGCTGAGTGTAACAAAACCAAAGCCAATGCAGTGTATTTTGCACATTGATTACTATATCAGATATTAATGTCAAATCTGTCCTGACGACCCTAAAGGCTAAAAGATTTATTTCCAGTCCAACAGGAAGTCAAATATTTAGTCTACACTGCGGGGGCCGAAGAGCAACCGTATATAGCCTTCGCGACACCCACCCCCAACCCTATAAAGGCAAAAGGAAGCTGAGGGAAGCTTTAGCGGCCTTTAAAAGCCTGGTAGAGGCGGTGGTTCTCGCGTGAGGTGGTTTTGCGAGGGTGTGTGTGTGTACCTTTTTCTAACGACATGTGTAGGTGAACTGTCCGCAAGCACACACAATTCTTGGGAAAGCGGATGATGGTGGCATGGGAGGGGGGAGGAGGAGGCAAAGGAAAGCCCTCTCCGCTCAGAAAAGCCGTCCAGCCTAGTCTCAAAAGAGAAAAAACCGGAAAGACGTGAAATACGGGAATTAAAAAAAATCCTCACTAGCACAAAGAATTATGTCAGTCACCTTGAACTGTGCTGTAGAATTTGTGCTGTACCTTGGGGAAAAATGACTCGGGTTTTTTATGACTTGTGTCCCCTCCCCCCTTTAATTAGTATGTGACTAAACTATACTGTATTATCGTATTTACCAGGAGAATGAACCTTTACCTTAATTGGGTTATTTATTTACTTACTGTGTGTTATGAGACACACTACATGCCATCAAGTCGCCTCTGACATATGGCAATGCTCTGAATGAGAGATCTCCAGAATGTCCTGTCCTCAGCTGTCCTGCTCAGCATTTATAAACTGCAGTCTGTGGCTTCCTTCCTTCTGGTTGCCTTTCCCTGCATAACTGTCTTTTTCAGAGAATCTTGCAATTACATAATATGCCCAAAGTAGGATAGCCTCAGTTTCATCATTTTTGCCTCTAGAGATAGTTTAGACTTGATTTGATCAATGAACTACTTGTTTGTCTTTCCGGCAGTCCAGGGTATCCGGTATCCACAAAGCTCTCCTCCAGCACCATATTTCAAATAAATCATTTTTTCTCCTGTTAGTTTTCTTCTCTGTCCAACTTTCACACCTGTACATGGTAATCAGGAGTCAACCTCACCAGGGAAGGGAATTGGGGCGGTGGGGGGGCACAGGCAGCCTTACAAGACTCTGACCATGAAAAAAACAGAGACCCAGGGTGACGAGTGGCAGAGAGTGGAGTAGGTGGTGAAAAAGGTCAAAGGAGAGCTTCAGGTACTGGCATCAGAGAGCCCCTAGACAGAGTGACCTAAGGAAGCTGTGCAAGCTTATTTTATTTGGCCCTGCAATGCCATTGCACAGAGGAAGTGCAACCAACCTCCACTATAATTTGGATGCTCGTAGAGTTATAGTGGGGGAAGACACAGCAGCAATTTAAGCATCTCTGCTGTATGGACACAGGTGCTAGCTATACAACTTGACATACCCAGCTTGCAGTCATGGACAGAGGAGAACAGGACTGAGACTTTGGAGAGAACTATAGATACAAGTGAGGGTGAAACAACTGCTCCCACTTTCTGGGTCCACTGCCCAGCTGTTAGAAGAGTTATGATGTGTAACTAGTTGGTTAAATAAATTTACATTGGTTTGCAATAACGTATCCTGCCTTTGTGTCCAGACAGTGGGGCCTTTTGAAGCCACCAGCCTATGGAGGACTTGGGGACATACAGTGGACCATTGACTTACGGAATTAATCCGTATTGGAATGGTGGCTGCAGGTCAAAAAGTCTGTAGGTCAAGTATCCATTGACCTACAGTGCATTGAAAACCGATTAATCCCGTAACAGACCGTTTTTGTTCCATTTTGGTTTTTTTCTGGTCTGTAAGTCAATTCTCAGGCTGCAAGTCAAACCTAAATTTTGCAGCCAGAGAAGTCTGTAACTCAAAAAGTCTGTAAGTCAAGCCGTCTGTAAGTCAAGGGTCCACTGTATGTGGACACACCAACAGGACAGAGGGTGATCTCCATGATTCCCTGATGGTAACCACCTTTTCCTTCACTGCACTGCAGAAGGATTCTTGTACTTTCTATGGAGCGTGGTTCAGTTTTATTACATCCTTCCCAACCTATTAGGCCTGGGAGTGGAAGCATTTTTCAAAACTGGATATGACTGGAAGCCACTTCCAATGTTGAAAAAAGGTTCCTTTGCCGAGGCTCAAAACAGCTCAGGGAATTCCAAAAACATGACAAAGTTGTCCTTCATGCCTCCTAGAGGTAGATATCAGGGAGGGGTTAAGGTGTCATTAACTGCTTCAAACTGCATAGCTCAGTGGTTTAGGTTTCTCACTGCAGAGCCAGAGGTTGGGAGTTTGATTCTTCACTCTGCCTCTTTGACAAGGGCTGGATTTGGTGATCAACAAGTTCCCTTCCAGCTTTGCAGTTCTAAGACTTAAGTAATTAAGAATCTAGGGGGCTGCCTTAACCGAGTCAGACCATCAGTCCGTCTAGCCAGCAATGTCAATTTACAAGTGGAACTCTGGGTTTTTAGTAGCATGATTCTTAGGAGCAAAATGGCAGTTGCCCTCCAGGGTTTGGAAGCATTATCTGCTAGTCTCCAAAGACAAAGGTGAGTGTTAATTTTATCAATATGAAAAAGTCACAAAGATAAGCTAGCTTTCAACTGCAAACAAGTCATCAGGCTGGGCATTAGAGCGCTGAAGTTCAGAAAAAAAATACAGATCCCAAAATGCTCAGCCAGATAAACTGTTTAAAGCAAGCTCCAAAACAAGGGCAGCAGAATCTATCTAGAATGGTGGATCTCAGATTTCACTTCCGGCAATGTTTACTAGAATTTATTTATTTGATTTCTATACTGCCCATCTCGCAGCCAAGGCCACTCTGGACAGTTTACAACAACTAAACAACAACAATAACATAATCACACACACAAAAAACCCAACATCTATAAAGGTGCAAAACAAAAATACCGTAAAATACAACAAAAAGTATAAAAAAACAAAATGAAGTAATATGAAAAGCATGGCGGTAGATTAGATGTTACGTTATTGGAAGCTCTATGGCATCAGGATATTTTTTTTAATCTGGGAAGGCTAAATAACAAGGTTTTTAGTAGTTTTTTTAAAGTGCCCAGTGATGGGGCCAGGTGGATTTCGGGCAGGAGGCTGTTCCACAATTGTGAAGCAACCACTGAGAAGGCCCAATTCCTATTGGTTATTTTCCGGGCCTCTCTTGAGGGTCAGAACTCTCAGCTGCCCTGCTTGAGACGATCCTACTAGACAGGCAGACCTGATAGAAAGGAGGCACTTAGCGAGAAATCAAGGTCCTAAACCATTTAGGGGCTTATATGTTAATACCATGACCTTGAAGCTGGAACAGAAGTGAACAGGTAACCAGTGCAAGGCGGCCAAGGTGGGGGAAATATGTTGGTATTTTCTAATCCTGCTCAATAGTCTGGCTGCCGAGTTCTGGACCCACTGAAATGTCTGTAGCAGCCCACATAGAGGGTATTGCAGTAGTCTAATCTCAAGACTACCAACGCATGGACCAGCGTGGTGAGGGACCCAGTGACAAGGTAGGGTTGCAGTTGGGCAATCCACTTTAGGTGGAAGTAGGCGGATCAGACCACAGATGCTACCTGGGATTCCATTGATAGCACTGGGTCAAAGCTGTGCACCTCGTCCTTCATGGAAAGAGTAGCTCCCCTAAAAGAAAGGGAAGCACCTAGACCACAGACACTAGGGCCCCCCTACCCACAGGATTTCCATCTCGTCCGGTTTCAGCCTCAGTCATTTTTCCCTCATCCATCCCAGTATCACGTCCAGACAATGCTCAAGGGACATGACAGCAGAGGGATGGCAGGAGACAGAGCTGGATGACATGTCCATATTGGTGACATGAAGCTCCAGAACTCCCCCAGTGGTCTCACATATATGTTGAATAGCATTGGGGAGATGATTGACCCCTGCAGGACTCCACACCCGAGTCCACAGAGCGGACAGCAGCTCCCCAAGCAGTACTATCTGAGGATGGTCTTCCAGGAAGGACCGGAGCCAGGCCAAGGTCTGACTGCTGATCCCCAACCCTGAGAACCTAGCCAAGAGGATACCGTGGTCGGTGGTATCAGGCCACTGATAGATCAAGGAGGACCAACAAGGACATTTTGCCCTTATTGGCCTCCCTCAAAAGGTCATCTTGCAGGGCAACCAATACTATCTCCATGCCATGCCATGGCCTGAACCCGGATTGGAATGGATCAAGGGCACTGGTTTCCTCTAGGAAAGCCTGAAGCTGATTGGCCACCACTTTCTCCACCAACTTGCTGCTGAATGGGATGTTGGCAACTGGATGGTAGATGTTAACATCGTCAGCCGCCAGGCTGGGCTTTTTCCAAATCGGCTTAATGAGCATCTCCTTGAGGGCAAGGGGGACCATGCCCTCAAGAAGAGACCCATTAATAATTGCTGCTGCCCACTCTGGCCACTTTCAAGAGCCAGGCTGGGCAATGGTCTAGTGAGGTGGCAGCCCTGCAGTTATCAAGGACCTTGTCAAACTCAGCTGACATCAAAAGCCGCCAGGCTGGGCTTTTTCCAAATCGGCTTAATGAGCATCTCCTTGAGGGCAAGGGGGACCATGCCCTCAAGAAGAGACCCATTAATAATTGCTGCTGCCCACTCTGGCCACTTTCAAGAGCCAGGCTGGGCAATGGTCTAGTGAGGTGGCAGCCCTGCAGTTATCAAGGACCTTGTCAAACTCAGCTGACATCACAGGCTGCAAGACATGTTGTAGGATGTCTCGGCTTATCTACTGATAAGGAGGAGAGATCTAGGTCCTAGTGGATGACCTCCACTTTTTGTTTTAAAAAGGCTGCAAATTGGTCACCGGAGTTGCTACTGGGAGGCCCATCACTGTGCCCAGTTCCAGATAAATTACGTACTATGCAGAACAATTTGGCTTGATGATCCTGGGCTTGGCTTATTTGGAAATCAAAGTGAGATTTTCTTATAGCCTTCACTTTGGCCAGATAGTTGTTAGATGCAATTTTTGCGGCTTTTAAATTGGTTGCCATCGGAGCCTGTCTCCAAATGCCTTCTAGCCTCCTCCTATTTCACTTCAACACCTGTAGCTGCTGGTTATACCAAGCAGCTGGCCGAAGTCGGGAATGGAGGGAGCGTTTAGGAGTGATCATGTCAGCCGCCCTGGTAGCTGCTGCATACCATTCATCCACCAGAGCTTTGACAGGAGCGCCAACCAGATCAGCTGGTATCCCCCACATTGCATCTTGGAATCCATCACTGCACTGGTTGACTGTTTAGGGTAATAAACTACAACTGGTCCAATGAGGGAAGAGCAGGCAAGCTCATACCTGTTAAGCCTAACAGGACCTCCATTTGAAGCAAGCCACAACACATATTCTTTTAGTAAAAGCTAAATGAATGTGACACTGCACACAGCGTGACATTACTCATTTATTGAACTTTAAATTCCATGATGTGGCATAAATAGTTTTAAAAAAACTGTTCATATGATACAGCTTTTGAAATAAAGGATTTCAAAACACACATTTAGACAAAATGAGCTAAACTCAACACCAACTTCTTCCAAATAACTGAGGACTGCCAAGGGGGAGTCATGGTATCAGGAATTTTACAAAACACAATATATGTTAACTGTTTTAACATTTTTCAAGCAAAGTACTTGCAAACAAGCAATCTAGGCCAAATGTATTTCATTTTATGGCTGAAAATATTTGGTGAATACATAAATGGGAGCAATATGAACAGATTTCAACTGAGATTGGAAATACTTTCCTTGAACAACAATTCAAGATGGTAATTCAGGTATCATGAGTTTATTATGGAGAAAACATGTATTTTTGGATTTTTTTCCCTGTCAAAATATTCTGTTCTACAAAATTTGTAAAGCTAACTGCATGCCTTCAATGACTCTGTTTATCCTGGTGACAAAGCAATTATGTATCAAAAACAAAATGAACTCAACATATCTGCTGTGATGCTTAGGGGACACAATGTCTTAAATTCATAAATATGTTTTTGAATTTGTGATTGATTTAAACAGGGATAAATTAAAAACATTGTAAACTTTATCGTTCATATTAACAGCAAATAAAATACACTAGTTGACCAGCTGAATTAAGAGGAGTTGCTAGCAGAAGCTACTAACTTTATGATACATTCAGCTGTGCCTGACACATTCATACAAAAGTACTGAAACTAAGAAAACGGAACTTCATTTGTGCGACTTAACTCAAGAAGTTCTTCTGGAAGGAATTGCCATGTGTTTGACTGGACGAATAGTCTTTCCTGACTTTGCATAGAAGTAATCTGTTATGACTCGCCTCCAGATGGGGTTCAGAGCCAAAACTTCAAAAAGACACTTGCGTGCCATTCTAAGCAAGTCAGAACTAAAGCTAACCCTGCTGTTTTACTATTTCCTACAGACACCACAACCTCTACTAAAAGTTTAAGAAATGCACAATCTGTAGTAGCCATATACTGCTCAGATGCTATTCATATACCCGTGTATGTTTGTATGCTTCTTAAAACCTTCAGTATCGGTAAGTGGAGCCAAGAAGAAACAGTTTAAACAGCAGGGTTTAACCTCAGCAGCCAGACTGAGTGATATCTTTTCCTGAAGCCTTTGTAATATCCATTGTAGTGAAAACCTGTGAAAGAATGAAACAAATAATTTTCAATGAATGCATTTCAAGTACTTACAATCCATCTGATATAATTCCATCTGTATAATTGGGACTAAAGCCTTAATAGTAAGAATTCACTTAATGGAACTTAACTTGAGGACAGAAAGGACAGCTTACTTGTTTGACTGTAGCTCTTTGTCTGTGAATTCACGCATGTATTTTTTGTGCCTGTGTGAAACTCATTGGAACATTCTAGCATTTGGAGAGAGAATAGTTAGAATATCCCCCCAACCGTGCATGTCCCTGTACCTAGTGATCAACCCTTAGTTGCCTCCATCCACTACTATACAATAAAATGTAGTAGTATGACCAACTGAGGAGATGGGCAGTTTGTGTGAATTCACAGATGACCACTCAAAGAACTACAGTTACAGATAAATAATCAGTCTTTCTTCTTTGTGATCTCTGTGAATCTGTTGGTTTCTTCTTTGTGATCTCTGTGAATCACACACGTGAGTGATTGATGAACTCACTTAACAACTGGTGGGATGTCACACCAACACAAATAAAATTACTGCTCTCCCCAATGCAGCATCAAGTTTTGCCCAACTTGTAATGTTTGATGAACTTTAAGGGTTGAGACTATGTTGCAGCCTTCAAATGTTTTTTAGCTGCATCCCTTTAAGAAAAGCTGTTCAGCTCTAATAGATTGTCTCCTCAGAGATTAGAGGAGTGGTCTCTTTGCCAGCCAGTAGGACCAAGACACTTTGATAAATATTGGGGAATGATCTGAGAGTGCTGGTCAAATGGTCTGCTAGTTTTAAAACATCCAATGTGTGAAATACATTTTTCAAACTTTGTAGAGGGAGATGGACAGAAGGTTCAGGTGAAAATTAAAAACCACTTTGGGTAGGAAAGAGGGTAACTTTATACCTCTAGAATTGGAAAAAAAGGTTGGGGTTTTTCCTCTGGATTCTGTTGGCTTGGAAGAGTGCTTGTGTTGAGGCCAATGTGAATGGATCTTAAATATAGAGTGACCTTGAGTGCAGTCAAGTACTACAGAGCACTGTAGCCAAGACTCTGCTCTTGCATAAGGCAGCAAGTTTTGGAGACTTTGATCTTGGGGGAGATTCTCCATTAGATGGAGATTCTGAAACTGAATGTTCCCGTTCTGGAGGAACTGGCAGCTTAGCAGCTAAGTCTTTGATGCTCCATCTGGCAGCCTCAATTCCATGTATTCCTGCTCCATTGCCTTCAGTATGGGGTGTCTATATCTGTGCCCGAAACAAAAAAACGTTGGGGGGGGGGGGAATACCATGGCATACACTGAGAGAACTGGGATGTTTCTCCCTGGAATTCCATGGAAACAGAAGAATGATGGGACAAAATGCCATTCATGTTCTAGTTATGAATGTGGATAAAACTGGGACATCGTGCCAGAATCATACTATCCGAAGCCTCCTCCAATTGCACTCTGTCTAACTGCTACAAAGAAGCAGCCTCTTTGCCACCAATGGTTAGCAATTTGAATTCCCCACCTTTTTCCCCTGCCTTTTTTCTGGTTGTAACTCAAAGCTCCGGTTGCAAGTAGAAGCAAAATTTTGCGGCCGGAGCTGGTCATAACTCGAAATGGTCGTATGTTGGGACGTTCGTAAGTCGAGGCATAAGCAAGTTCAAACATGCCTTTCTCACCAGATTACTCACAAACATGTTCAAACTCACTGATAAGCTCAAACTCAGGTTGCGGGGAAAATATGAGATGTCATAGGAATACTTCCCCAAATGATGACAATAACAAAAGACAACAAAAAAGTAAGATTTACGAAGTGAAAGAATGCTCTAGCGAACATGCCTTGGAATTTCCTCAGCAGTGGCTAAAGAGAACTGAGAGAAAACGGCTAGGTGCAGGGACATGTGGAGTTGTGAGGGACTATTCTAATAGTTCCCTCTTCCAGTTCTTGAATGTTCCAACGAGTTTTGCACATGTGTAGAAACACCCACATGTGTGATTCACAAAGACCACAAAAAAGAAGAGGAAAAGTCTAGGCAGAAAAGGAAAAAGAGTGTGGTGGCTCCTGTAGCACTTACACGACAACCTATAGTTTTGTTGACTAATTCAGTGAAACGGATAGTGTCTTGCATCTGAAGCAATACGTATCCCAGCAGTCTTAAAAGAGTATTACTGCTACGTGCTAAATTTATGAAGAAGTAGAAAGGGAAAAATGGAGATTCTACAACACCTAACAGTAACAGGGCAAGGAGTGGCTATTGTTTTAGACATGGGAGATCCGAAGACAATTATGATGAAGTGAAAAAAATGGTTCAGATGCAGAAAGGCAGGCACTAGAGGTTACATATTTTGATGAAAATGCAATTATGGTTACCTCTGCACAAGTTGGATGTATACCGATAGTTTCATTGAGTAATTCCTTTGTGAGACCACATTTCATTGCTGCCCCAAAACCTTGGGTAATTTCTCCAGCATTAGGTCCAAGAACATGAAGACCTAAAACACGGTTCTTTAATGAAAAGAGATGGAAATAGGGAAGAGATCGAAAATTAGTTAAGTTTGTTTCTAGTAGATTTCTGCTTATTTCTGGGAAGCTATGTATACCTATGGCAAATCAGCTGTAATTTTTTTTAATTTTAATTTTTATTCTATTTATATCCTGTCTTTCTGGTCGATATGACCACTCTAGGTGGCTTACAAAGTCAAAATACAACAACAACAACAACAACAACAACAACAACGACAACAACAACAACAACAACAACTTATTACAATAAATAGTAAAAGCTTCAACATGGGTTAAAATGAAAAATGAACTACAAAGAAAAAAGAAGAGAGAAAGCAAATATTAACTGGAGGGGAAGGCCTGCCCGAACATCCAAGGTTTTAGTTGGCTTTTAAAAATACCCAGTGAGTGTTAGTGTTCTTAAATACTGGGTTGGCTACATACAATGTTGGGTTGGAAACTGGGAGGTTTGGGTTCTAGTCTGTACTGAGTAACGAAACTGACTACATGCCTTTGAATCAGTCATGCTCTCTCAGTCTCATAGGACTATTGTGAGGATGAAATGGGTAAAAGACCATACTACTGTTGTGAGGATTAAGTGAGTAGGAGGAGATCATACCACTTTGAGGAAAGGCAGAATATAAATTTAGCCAATAAATAGAAAGCACTTTGCTGAAACTAGTAACAATATTTCATTTTGTTCTTTATTCTGTTTGATTTAATACATGTGAACTACTTAGCAGTGCTAGGCAAAACTAATTAAAGCTTTTTAATGAGGGCCTGGGGCAACTGATGTTTACATCCGTTGCTCAGGATACTAAGAAATACAAAACAGGACTAGGCATTGTGGAGCTGACTTCACTGGGAGTAGATTTCTATGCTCCATAAAATCCAAATGGGTGCAGAAAATAGAAAGCAATACCTTAACATCATTAATGTAGATGAACAAAAATCACAGTACAAATAGATGGGAGTAAATTTATCAACATCAGTATAAACTGAGCTACATCTTCCACATCCAAGTCTTGCCTCAGACTTCTATTACGATACGACATGATGGAATTTGCTTATAAACCTAGACACCTAAATGCACACAAAACTGCAAAAGCATGCATTTATACGCACTGTAATATTTTCACTGAAAGTTTGCTACTTTCAGTAGGACTACACAGTAGTTGGGAGGGAAACTGATCCATTACTTCAATCCAAGTGGTACATTACTACTGCATTTTTCAACTAATGTCTAAGAAAATGAGTTGGTTTGTGGCTTCATTAAGCAGCAGTAACAACCAAACCACAGTCAAATTTTTAGGAACATCCTAGGCAGCAGCATAATTTCCATACTAGTAAGCAGTATGCCACACTTTCCAAACACGAAATCAGAAGATAGGTGTTTAAGGCAGAATACATACATTGTCAAGTTTGTTGCAGATTACTTTTGCATAAGATGTATTGTTGTCTCTATTGGGTATTGTCCATTCAAGTGGCCAAAACAAAGTATGATATACCTGGAGAAGAAAGTAAAGTTTTAAAACTCTGTTTAACTTCTATTCAACATGGGTTAATAGCTCTCTAAAACAGAGACCCAGGTAGCAGAACGGGCAAAGTAGTATCACTCCTATGCACACAACACAAGGGGAAATGCTACATATGCATCAAGTACTTAACATTCAGCAGAGCAGGGATAG